ATATGACCAGATAAGCACAAGCTCTGGCCCCATCAAACCTCTGTAATTTGGTCTCCGTTCATAACTTTATAGACTGAGCCAAAATAACAGTCAAAAATCCGTTAGCAAACTTCAAATCTTCTATTGGCCATAGCTCACCCGATATTTAACAAATTTAACTGGTTTGCATATATTGTATATATGGTCAGAATTTGAAAATTCTAAAAAATAGTTTTCTTGTGACATCACATTTGACTCTTCTATTGTCACAACATTTCAAGCATTTCTCTCTTAAAAAAATGTCTATAAGAAACCAAGCCAAAAGATGACAACAAAAATAAAGCCATAGTACTGATCATCCCAAACCTTAAGAATTTGCTCGAAAATGATTATTTAAAAGATGGGATAGAAATGATTCTTTTAGATGATCAAGTGTTTATTTCTAGATAAATTGTGATAGACACAAAAGGGGAACTTCGTGCGAGTAATAAGGTGCAATTTCTTACAATAGATTTTTTTATGATCCATAACATTGGATGTTCAACCAAGGACCGCGGAGCATGTTATAGATTGTGGGGCTGAAACGTTAAGGGGAAAAGGGACTAAACATGCTAAGCGCCAAGATCAGGGCGATTTTTGGCATGATTTTAAGTACACTTTGAAAATTAATGGGGGAGCTAAAGCTCTTTCTCCCCGCTTCCACTATCCCTGTGTTCAACAAACCTTTTCAAATCTCTATGCACTCAAATCACATGACATCAAGAAACCCAGTGCTAATGAAATCACATGAAATCAAGAAACCCATTCTTTCAAAAGATGCTTGTATTTCTGCAACAGTGGCCAGGCGGGGTTAGCAGGGTTGGCAAATATCCATTGCGTCTCCAGACAACAAAAAGTTCAGTATGATCTGGACTTATTTCATGCTCTTTTCTGTATGTCAAAGAGCTTTGTCGGAAATTTTCAAGTGTTTTTGTCTGCCTGCTCTAAAACATCAATTCTATTGTTTCCCTGTGTTCAAATACACAAGTTTCCCTGTCTACACACACTATTTCAGTTCTAATCACGAAAGATAACTGGCATGTCATCATTTTGGATTCTTTCGACCTGGCTTACTGATCTACCAATTTTATGTTGTTTGTGCTGCACTACTGATATCTACGCTGAATAGAAGCATTTAAAATTATTTTTACATGATGGATGAAGGACCTTGTTTGAATATTAGTATAACTAAAGTACTTATAAAAAGTTCAGCGGTGGACTTGAGACAACGCCTCGATTTATTGTTTTCTGGGGAGAAGTAGCATATCACCTTCTTTCTTTTGCGAACCTTCGTATGTTTGTTCGTGTTCGGATTTTAGAATGCTAGAATGTTCTCGAACCCTTAAAATTTAGTCTTTATTTAAAGGCTAGGTTAATCTTTTTTTAAGAGCATTTGAAGCCAGTTTTGTTCGAAAAATTACCTTACAATAAGCAAATGCGTTTTGCCCTTTCCTGCATTGTCGAGTGACCAGCAGTAAAGAGGGCAAATGCGCGTAAAGAGACCACCACATGTTGCCACTTCCATGGGCCTTGTAGCTGAAAAATTGCTGCAGGATGGCAAATCACGGACCTTTCTATAGGTTTTTTCTGATCTGCGGCGATGTAAATAAATTGTGTGCGACGAGCAAATACGGCAAAACCATCAACGATATGAAAAAACGAAACATTATTTTACCAACATCCAACAACGCCACGCAGAGGACCTTTCTCTGAATTTCTACTGTAGCTGGTAAGGTCTAAAATGGCTTTCTATACTGCGCCCAACTGTGGTAAAAGTCAAGAATAAAGAGGCATGTTTGCACCCAGGCAACACAGAAGGTGGAAACATTTCAAATAGATATTTTAAAACAATTTGAAAAAGACGCTTACTGCTAGCGAATCATAGGCAACATGTTATGGGTATAGGCAACAGGTCTTCTAGTTAGAAACATATTATTAGTTTCATTTCGTTTTCCTTTTAGGAAAAATACTATATAGACTTTTTATTTTGATTCTTACTCAAGCTTGCCTTTTTTATTGCAAGTTCATGGCACCTCTCTTTCTGATGTGGTAGTCTCAAACTGAACTGTTACCATGATTAAAAGTGGAAAATTTCAAATATTGTTACAAGACGAGACTTACGAGGCCCCACGAAGCTACAAATGTTTAAGCGGGTTGAATTACTTAAAAATAAATTTTGCGAGGAGACTTCTTCTGCCCCACTCCCTCTCCCCCATTTCATCGCCTCTGGCCGCAAACTTCTGCCAATCAAACGATCTACTTATTGCCATGCAAACAGTGTCATGCAAAGCTTTGTTGCACTTGCCAGCTCATTAAGTCACGAAAGAGCAACACAAAGAAGTAAAGATGAGATTTCTCTTTCTTTTATGGCTTTTTAGATTTTTATGAAAAATTGGCCCCTGTGGCGAACACTGATCTAAAAAAAACTGGATCGCGCATCTATTGTTCTAAAAGTGCGGCCGCTGAGAAATCGCAGCGGCCATGCTCTTGTGACCACTTTTGCAGACTTGTGGTCTTGTTTACTACGAGGAAATGCCGGTTCGAACAAGTAAAGTCGAAGTTTCTGTCGTCAAATAGTGGCAAAGGTGGGTAAATCTAAATATATATGAGCGTAAAGGACCATCAAATTATTAAATGTTCCATTTTATGGAGGGTAAGGCATTTTGGTTCTCTATTTCTTGTTGCTTTACGGATAGCCTACACTTTTAGGCCTATTATTAGTAGGTGGATTGAAACTCGAAAACAGAAATCAAACTAAGGTAAATCTAAATAAACATTTTTCTTTCGTTGTTGGCACTCAAAAACAGTAATTAGACTGTTTCCTAAACTCAAGTCTCCACGGAGAGTCCAACGATGCAAATATATTTATTCGAATCAGCAGGCAAGTGACTATATGACTAGCTACCTTTTACTTATTTGATCAAATTAGAGCCGTAAATTGCCATGAAAAAGCCACGTAGCAGCGATAATTACATAGAATATAAGTAGCTTTCATATGTAAAAGTTAATTTTAATTGTTTCTCTGATAGGATATAACCCCCAGAAACATCTTGGGAGCAACCCCAGTGTAGTACTAAGTTTCTTGTAGATAGAAAATATGTTTAATTTGTGTAGCTGCTCTTTCCAGACAAGTCTAGCCGTGATTTCAAACCTCTAACTTTTTGTGCCCCTCTACATTGTTTAAGCAATACATTTTACATTGAAATGATGTGATATGAAACATGCTTACATTCAAGTGAATCACCGCTTGTACTATGTTTGTGACTTATGTGACTTAGGACTAATTGAAGAGTGATATCATATTCCTCTGAAAAAATAAGCCTTAAAGAATATGCCTGGTTGTACTTTTGAATCAAAATTTTAATATTACCTCTGACAAAGCATTTCTTTATTTTGCAGAATAAAGTGCAATGGAATGGCTTGACAGCTATTGAGGGATACAATCATATATAGTTTACTGAGCTAGAACTTCATAAGTAACAGATATTACAATGAATAGTAATTAAAAGATTGTGACTTTGTTTCAAATGAATTTTAAGATTGTGATTTAAAAATTTGAGGTTTTTGAATTTGTTATGTATACAGCTCTTTGAGAGATATTGAGAGATAAATCCTTCATATTTGAGAGATAAATCCTTCTGCCCTGAGACAAAAGCTATGAGTGACAACACTTTTATGAACTGAAGACTAATACGGTTCATAAAAAAGGCTTACTACAGCAAAACATTTGATTACATTGGTAATTTTGTTCCAGAAATAATCATAGATTACTGCATAAAGCTCACAAAATAAATTCATTTTACTGCTAAATTATCTAAACATATACACAATTTTTGTAGCAAACATTTGAATTTGTAAAATATGTTTGAAGAACCTCCTGAAACAATCTAAATTACTGTTTCCACTCCAAAATTAATGTTATGAATATTGCAGTTTGTTTTGCTTTAGTAAGATTCAGCTGCTAGCAACAACTTCCATTGCTTAGTCACATCATAACATCTCAGTGATTGGTTCCTTTCCAAAACTTGAAAATGGAAAACCTTTATGGTTTTATAAACAGATGTTTATTTCATTTCAAAACAAGTGGTGAAGGCACATGTCTTTGTCAATCCACCAAGTCAAAGATGCACACAAGTTGCTCTACCTAGAAAATAAAATATAAAAGTATTTTTCGTGTATCTATTAGCCTGCGCCTTTATAGATCTGATACATTCTTCTATGAGGCAGTCCCACATTTCAATTTTTCCATGGGGAAACAAAGATTAGGCCTAGTGCCATGTAAAAAATTATTTCTGAATTCATAAACATTAACTATAGCAATCTATTTGGGTATCTAAAACCAGGCAAGACTTTCCAAATAGCTACCTACTTCAAAGTAACTAACTGTAGCAATCTATTTGGGAAACTAAGGCCCCGTTTACACTGCCACAGATGACTTGTTGATCCGTATCAAAAGTGATACGGATTGGCCTCCCGTTTACACCACTCCAAGCTATCCGTAGCAAAACTGATACGGCTAACCGTATCACTTTTGATCCTTTTAGCAAAAGGATTTGAAATGGTCCAGACTCGTGAAAACCCAGTTTAAAGGGGGCATAACTGTACCTAAGAAATACAACGATCTTGGCCTACTAAAATAAAAATAGTAGTGTACTCACGGTGAAAAAGTGGAGCGTAGCTTCCTTTTTATTTGCAATCCTTGATTCTCATGGACCTTGTTGTCATTTATTCCCTTTTCATCGTCAGTTCCCTATTTCGCATTTCTTACAGGCAAAATAAATGCAGCGAATACCTTATTCTCCAGCATCCTAGCTATTCATTTTCCCGCTGAAGTGGTCACAAGCGCATGGCGCCGATTGAAATTCGCCGGCCGCACTTTCTAAGGTTTGAGAACAATAGGATGCGCGATCCAGTTTTTTTTAGATCAGTGGTGGCGAATGGTCGCTGCGAAGGACATTTGCGGCCTCGGGGCTCTGCTTTATTTGGGCGGCTGTTAAAGGAACAGAACTTTTGCAAATTGAGCCGACCAACCACGAAAGATATTTCTCTGCAAATTATCTCCGCGACCAAAGCAATCGGCTATATCATACTTCAAAAACTATCTTTATCAAGCTGAAGGCGCCTATCAAGTCTGGAAATTAAAGGCCACAGTCTTCGAGGGAGGAGAGTTCCTTTTTTTCGTTGCAGAAGTCATTGAAACTACCTAGGCCTAAGTGCCAAGCTTAGGTCTGTGTTCATTCAAGCGATTGTATAACTGTCAGTGAACACGCGCGCTGGTCAGTGTAAAACTGGAAAGAAAAACATTACCAGGAGCTTCTGAGTTCAGTTTATGTCAATGGGAGTAATTTATCGATGTTTAATGTTTTACGTGATTTTAACAACTGTTTGCTGAGTGATACCTGATAAGAGGCTTCATCATGGCAGGCATGGCTTCTCTTTTTTCGTTTACCTCCCCTGCCGTAAAGCGACTATTGGGATGGAAACAGGGTGATGAAGAAGAAAAATGGGCCGAGAAGGCCATAGACTCGCTGGTAAAAAAGCTCAAGAAAAAGAAAGGAGCGCTGGAGGAACTAGAAAAAGCATTGTCGAACCCAAATTGTGTGTCGAAGTGCGTCACTATCCCAAGGAGTTTAGATGGAAGGTTGCAAGTATCTCATCGGAAGGGTCTCCCTCACGTTATTTACTGTCGCGTATGGAGATGGCCTGATTTACAGTCTCATCATGAGCTGAAGCCACTAGATTGCTGTGAATATGCATTTAGCCTTAACAAAAAGGAAGTATGCATCAACCCTTATCACTATCGAAGAGTAGAAACCCCAGGTAAGCGATTTGAAGCAACCAAAACCTATGTTTACAGATAAAGTAATTATAGTTTACAGCGAGCATATAACAACATCACCTTGAGTATGCATTCTCTTAACTTTCAAAAAGCTCGCAGATCAGGAAGACCAGGATAAAAGTTACACTGTTTATCCTGTCGTAAGCTCATCCCTTATTTCTAAATATGAACAGAAGCTTAGAGTTTATCGAATAATTCAACAATGGTAATAGCAAGATCGCTTCCCTCCCAAGCGCGGCAATGCCGGAATTTCTTTCTCTCCTTTGATTGGTGTTTGGACTACTCTTCAATCAGCCTTATTCTGAAAATCTTGCTGTTACCGTTGTTTACATATCAATTCAGGATGTTTTTCTTAGGAATAGCAACCTGCTAAGATAGAGGCGAATTCCCGTGTTTATTTATCGTGACATAGGCCTGATAAATTACGACTGATCTGGCTTGGTTTAATAATGTATGCCATTGTTGTGAGGGAGCTTCTTTGTAGATCAATTTGGCGATCGATAATATTACTTAAGTTCACAAGTTTATTTTTTGTTTTTTGGGTTTATCTTGTCGGCAAAACTCCATTTTTTCTGTTTTATTAGTCAAAGAATAAAACAACTCATTACCTTCGATGCTCGCTGCTTCTTTTCCAAATTCCTAAATCAAGATGCAGTCATTTTTCTGTTGTTTTCTTGATGCGATGTCGAGTGCGGAGTCAAATAAGTCAAGTTCATGTTTCTTTTGGCTTTTAATGCATCACATATTCTAAACATTTTAACAACACAAAGAGAAAAATCAACTACATGATTTGAGTTTTTGGGTTAATAACCCAGAAGTATCCTACCATTTTCAAAACTACATAATTTTGGATTTCACAATAAGTATACATACAGTCCTAAATTTCCTTTTGGACTTTTTCCCAAGAATAGAGCTATTTAATCAAAATGTAAGCAGGTTTTGTTCACATTATTTAAAGACAATATTTACAAAATATGCAAAAATTGCTAAGAAAGATAAAGAAAGTGCTGTTTCATTAAAAGAAACTATCAAAAGGATTTGATAAGCTTGATAAATGTATATACATGTAATAAAGATAATTTTTTAAATCATACATTGAGTTATGATCAATTACCATAATTCTTTCAATTACCCCAATGAATATTTTTAAATTAGTCTTTGAAAAATAGTAGAGGCTGTCAAAATATTATTGAGATATATATTTTAGTTATTAATAGTTATTTAGCTAAAAAGCAATGTCTAAACCACTTTTAACAGAAAAAAGTATTAATTTATTTTGTATATTCATTAAGTTTGCAGAATATGCAAATTGGAGTTTCTATCTTAAGTTTCTATTAAATGATTTTTTATGTTGGTAAATAATTACCTTTACTCTTGTTAGGTCAACTTGAAGGGCTTAAAGTCAGATCCAAGGGCTGTGAAAAGTATAAATATGAGAGGGCAAAATGTGTTGATTGTGGGTGTAGTTAGTTTAGGCCGCCACCATGGTTGGCAGCAAGAAAAATTGTTGCAGGCCAGAACTGGCCAGCAGGCCGGGGGCTGAGAATGGCAGGGATATATCATGAATGGTGAACATTGAACTTGGGTATCTGCTATTGTGATTTTATATGCATACAATATTTGCAAATGGCTTTTAAAAGAGCAAGCATGTCACAACATACTACTTAAAGCTTTTTCATCTTACACTCCTCAGAGTATAAAACTCAGAGAAAAAAGATATTTGCAATGTATGATATTTGCATTCTTAAGATGTTGAAACCTAAGACATCTATTTAGTGGAAGCCCAGATGTTTGTAACCATCACAGCCAAAAGCCATAGGAAGTTCATTTATCTTTTTCCATAATATTGCTTTCATTGTTAATTTGAAACTCAACATACATTCAAATTTAACAATGAATAGAATTGTAACAAATTATAAATGCAAATCTGACTAAGAATTAAATAGTAACAAATGATAAATCTATTGATACAGTTAGTAAATGTTATCTAGAATATGCACAAAAAGTTTTGTTTAATTTGCACACACTAGAATTTCTTAATAGAGGAACTCTCCTAATAGTTCAAAAATTTATGAAAGGAGATTACGCCCTTGGTCACAGACACATTTTACGGAGATTACGCCCTTGGTCACGGACGGAAAAGAGATTACCCCCTTGGTTAAAGGCAGATAGATGAATATTTTACATTGCAGAGCAAAATTATTTTTAGTGAATAATTGCAAGGAATTTTGAATTTTTTTTCAGATTTTTACAAAACGAAAAAATTTAAATGGAGATTTTCTTATTTCTTTTGGAAGATCATGTCATATTTGCTATGAAATTTCTCTGATCTCTCCCAAACTGGGTACTTCAAATTGGAATTTATTAGTTGCAAAGTTTTTAAAAACTGGCAGGTTTAGCAAATGTCCATTATGGTCCACCAACTATGGTAAATTATACAGGTCTTTCTTTCTATGTCATACTCTAGAATCCTGGCATCTATTTTCTTTGGATAACATTCCAGCCACTATTGCTTCCAGGAGTTACACAATTAATATTTTTATTTTGAATCCTAAACTTCTGGAATAATTTGGATTAACTAGCCACCTTCTTAATATTTTACTTTATCAAAATATCATCAATACATTTGTCAAAAAGTTTCAAAAGCAGATGGACCTGGTGTGAAAAGAGAACTGAAGTGCTATATCCCTACAACAAATTCCCTGATGGGGCGGTTTGGTAAGATTCTTAAGCAAACATTTTGTTATCATTTCCTGTCACAGTAGGCTTGGAAGGTAGCTACACAAGATGCACATTCTACAAACTATCCCATCATGAAATTTAGAAAGCTGGCACTGTTTTTCCATTATTCCATAAAGTAGCATAAAATATTAGTGACAGTGACAAAAGTATTTTCAGATGATTCTCCTTGTTTGAAAGTTAGATTTGGGTCCCTCAAGAACCTGAATGATGTGCCAGAAACAAGTGGAAACAAAACTTCTCTGGGCCATTTGGAGCCCGTATTCACAGCCATGAGATTCACTGCATTATTCAGCCTGTGTATAAAAGTAGATAAGAAGTTGGCGTGGTTTAAATCAAGATTCTAGTGTGGTGACTTAAAAATATTTGCTGTTTACAAAGCTGTAAAAACCGAAAACCTAATGTGTAATAAAAAGTGAGGTCATCCTGATACTTGAATTGTTCTCTGCAAAGCTAGATGGCAAAAAAAATTAGTTGAAATGACTTATAATTGGTTCCAGTAAGCCTTAAATGTGAAGATGCCATATGCAGGTGCAAAAATGCTAAGATACCTGTTATGCAGAGTAGTCAAAGATATTGTATTAAATAGATGTATCTTGACTGTGCCATAGAAAGCTTACGTTTCATGAAGATTTTGATTTGTAATAGTACTAAAGACAACTTGTTTGAGCCATTTCCAAAAAACGATGATATGTGCCAAAAAAGATGCTGCAAAAACTTCACATGTAATGATAAAGTAAGTAAGGACAAACAGAAGGAATTTCTACAGTTTAGCTGACTTTTGCCCTTCCACGAAATGAATTGTAATCCACATAAGTTGCTTTAACAATCGAGTAAATGTCTGGCCAATGTTAAACAACAGCCCTGAAACTAGAAAAAGACAGGCACAAGACATCCATCTAGAGTACAAGAAATCAATCTGAAACATGGAATCCAAAGGACATTTATCAACAACACAACTGCCACAAATACCTGATAATCAGTAATCAGGATTTCTTTATGCAAATTAGAGGCTTGCTACGTGAACGCCCAAACGACCTAAGCTCGCCGTTTTAGAAAAGAATGTGAAGATCGACCAATTCAAGAAGTTGTCAATCAACGATGCATATCAAAGTAAAATGCAAGGAGTCCGTTGGCAGTAAAATACCTTTCAGGATTTTGCTGCTTTCGCCTAACCTAAGCTAGAATATTGGTGAGGTTGTAGAATGGCAAATCAAATGAATGGAGTCTCTTGATAAAGACTCTATCAAAATATTGTTTTGTTGTTTTGAAAAAGACACCGCTCTCGAGAAAGACTGTTTTGTTGTGATAAATTTGAACTACAATACCTGACATTTTAAGGAACAAGTTGACATATGGATAGCTAGAATCCTGACAAAATTGGCACTTCAGAAATCATCCCAGAGAGAATGAAATCTATCTTTTTTAACCAAGCAATTCTTCATTCAGACAACGAGGGTCATAAATCTTTTCTTTTCATGATTTGGTTTATATCAGATGCTGCCGAAAATCGAATTGAAAGGTCTACCTTTTTTTAGCCTGTCTGGCTTTCTAAATAACGTTTACCTAGTCTCTAGTAGGATTTAGACTTCTGACATGTGATCCAAAGGGTAAACCAGTAAACACACAAGGAAAGCTAATGAAACATCAACGATCACCTTGCTTTGTTAATCTTGAGGTCAAAAGATACATTGTTTCGTCTGCTCCACGGTGACCAAAATCATTTTAAGCTTTACGCCAAGTGGACCTAAGTTGTTGTCCTGGTCAATCCGCTTAAAGTCACGCTGCTGGCTACAGTCACATAAAATTTAGTCCTAAATATGTCAGACTATTCAATGTAGCTCGTTTAAAGTCACGTTAATTTATAGTCTTAAGTTTTCTTCAAGCAACATTTGGCATGACTATAACCGGAGTCTACTGTACCATGCTGGGGCTGGGCTGTAATCGTTGTATCAACATGCCTCTGTGATTCATTGACCTCTGTGATTTATTTATCCATAAAAAAGAAAGCAGTTCCTACAGGATGCAAATGTATTGGATCTACCAGAAGATCAGTTCTATTATCCATCTCTAAAGTATTTTGAACCTGGAAGTGACGTCCTACGTGTTTATTTCTTCAAATGATTGATGACCTTTTTTCTGGAGCATTTTTTTTATACCTCTTTTATTTTCACCTTCAGGCCGGCGTTTTTTTCGATAATTCGGCAAAATATCGCCGTTGTTCCTTTAACTTTCAAAGCCAGAGTGTTGTTGTTAGGGATATTTGGAATTTTGGCTCAATGCGAAAAAATTGCGGACGGGCTGTAGCCTTCTTTGTAAGATGAAATATTTTCTGCACAGAATGACTAAATAAAGCGACCGTAATGCCGAATTATGTAAATATTCCAAGTGAAAAGCAGTTGAATTGTTTGCATTCTTTCTCATCTGTAAACAAGAAAAATGAAAGTTATTTCGTATATTTGTAAATATTCATATAATGAATCCGTCCAAAGATTATCTCATCGCTAACACTGTTACAATTTGTTATTGGGTGTATTAGCAGGATCCAGACAACAACTCATTATTTGAGTGACCCTTTAATGTTTGGCAGGGCCATGTTTGGCAAGACCTTGTTTTGCAAGAACAACTACTGCCATCATATTCGCTTCTCTAATTCCTGCAACACAGAAAGAAACGAAACAGTTTTTTATGCTGGTTGTTTTTGGGGCGTTGCTATGCCAAGGCGAGATAAAAATCGTATCGTTTTGAACAGGTGTTCTAGATATACACGTTATCAGCGCTTTGAACACCCCCTTTTCTGTTTTGTTGTGTTGTAAAGGTTTTCTTAAAGCTTCTTTACTGTCCGTTCCTATACGCAAAAAGGTGTAGAATGAACGGGGGCAAACATAGAAATGATTTCTCTGAATTAAAAGTAGAACCTGTTGCGTTGATTGCCAGAAACAAATGGATCTTTTTAAATTTTTTCCTCCCTCTCTTTCTCTAATGGGAATTATCTTCATTTTAGTACTACCACCAGTCCTTGTCCCAAGGCAGAGTGACTTCCCCAGGCCCACGGGCCCGATGCCATACCACATGCAGCATATGTCATCTGTCCATGGAATGCCAGGAAATGCAGGATTCCCACCAAACTTTCAAAGACCTACTCCTGGTCCAGGTGAGCATTGAACGTTTTCATTATTTTTTTTGAATGAGAGGAAGTATTTGAAGACGTCCAATTGTGTATTGCACACAGGACTGAAGATACAACCCCGCCCCCGTCAGCCATTATTTTCCAGTAGCTTTTTTGCGCCTTTCATGTGACGATTGTCCCCTTTTGTCATAGTGGAAGATAATCCTTTTTATGAAATTGCCAATTCAGGTTTGTAAAAATAGCCTACAGAATGTCTGAGCAGAGCCGTATTTCTGCAAGGCAACAGGGTCGTATTGCGAGGAATATGTCGGATACAAATTGAAACAGAACTTAACCGAAATATCTGTTGAACAGAATCTGAATCTGTTGAATTTGATAAAACCCAAGTAGATGTTACGGTTGGCTCAGCCTGTGCAGGACAATGAAAATAAGGCGTATTTGGTTAAAGGAGAAGTCGCTACATTCTACACCTGTTTCGGTTTGCAACATTTACCCTTTTGCAACAAAATATAAATTCTTATCCGGAGTTGAATTTTATTAACAAACTCATTAAGCTTTATTTAATCTATTCATTACTAGGCCATGTTTTCGAAATTTTAGATGCAGCCCTGCCCGGTGTTTGATTACATTTTTTACTTTTCCTGATCGCATAAGTTTTGCTCTGGATGAAATGTTTTGACAAGACAACAATCAGAATCTTTACTTTGTTTACAATTATGTTTGATATAAAGTGTATGTAATTAAAATTCAATAAACTTTTCGACACAAATTTTTTTGAAGTGACGAAGAAAACATTTCGATAAAGCGAACTGCAAAGCAAATTTTTATAACGTCAATGATGATGGTTTGTAGATATTGACGAGACATTCCCGTTTTTGTTGTGAGAGGCATGAAAGTGTTTTTTGTGGAGTATTCAAAACATGCCCCTATCTGTACGATGCCCCTCTCCTATAAATACCCTTGAAGAATCTAAATTGTTGTTAGAGAAGATACGGTAGGTGAATGTTGCTTTGTACTAAGACAGAAACTTTTAAACTGTATTACTAATTTGTGATACCGTTCTTGAATGTCGATTACGCAATCATGAAATTGGTTATCTGTATTGAAAGAAGTTGAATAAGACAAAGCTTTAACGATTAGCGATTCATTTTTAGAAACACCACCGCCTGCTTATATGTCCGAAGATGGAGGGAGTCCACGGCCTGATCCAAACTCAATGGAAACTGGAGACACGGTGCCACCTGGTATGTGTTGCAGCAAGCTTTTTGTCCTGTTGCTCAGTCAAAATAGAGCTTTCTAAGCTTTGTGCTATTGAGCTCGATAGGATATCTGTTTTTTTTGTGAACACGTTGTTTGTAGCACATTTCCCACAATTATTAATATGCCACAATTATTAATATTCATATAATAACTATAGGTATCATTAAAATGATAATCATCTGAAATCAATACAACATCTGAAATTGTATGTTTAAAGTAATTCATCTGGCAAATGATAGATAGCCTGTAACTGCCTTTCTTCAAAATAGGGTGTTTTGGACATTTTATGTTCCTTTTTATATTCAAATGTTCCCATTGTCAACTCAACCGAGTGTAGATAACCACTTTTGGCAACAGAATGATCTCTTTGCTGATGGCATCAGTATCAAGTTGGCTGTAAAGTTATCACCATAATCAAACATTATTCAGCAAAATCAGAAATTTGAGCTTAGGCAAAAAATCCTTATGTTAAGTTATATTAAATTATAAATCCAACGACATTGTCACTTTGTACTTCTAGATGTAACCCCTATTACGTATCAAGAACCAACTCATTGGTGTTCAATTGCCTATTACGAGTTGAACAGTCGTGTTGGAGAGCCGTTCCATGCCTCAAACACCAGTGTTGTCATTGATGGTTTCACAGATCCAAACATCAACAGTGATAGGTTCTGTCTTGGAGGCATGTCCAATGTTAATCGCAACTCTACGATTGAGAACACTCGACGTCATATAAGCAAAGGAGTTCATTTGTATTATGTTGGTGGGGAGGTCTTTGCAGAATGTCTGAGCGACAGCGCCATTTTCGTCCAAAGCCGCAACTGCAACTACCACCATGGTTTCCATCCTACGACAGTGTGCAAAATTCCGCCTGGCTGCACGCTCAAAATATTCAATAATCAAGAGTTTGCTCAGTTGCTTTCTCAGAGCGTTAATCATGGCTATGAAGCAGTTTATGAATTGACAAAGCATTGCACTATACGGATGAGTTTTGTCAAAGGCTGGGGAGCCGAATACCATAGACAAGATGTAACAAGTACACCCTGCTGGATCGAGATTCATCTGCATGGTCCACTTCAGTGGCTAGATAAAGTTTTAACTCAGATGGGGTCGCCTCACAACCCTATTTCTTCAGTTTCATAACTTCGAAGGGGTACTCCGGGACATAGTTATTGTAAAAATATTAGATTTTAATAGCGGACACTTTGGTTTTGTAACAGTAACCCATTTGCCAGTTTTACTGACAAAAGATAAGGCATAACTGCTCTTAGTGCGAGGCAGAGAAGGGACAGTTAGTCGAGTATTGCAAGCAGCAAGTTATGACACTATTGATACTAATGATTGTCAACATGAAACTAATTGACTTTTCTGGTAGCAAAAGGAGCATAATCGAAAGCTTTGGACTTTGCTTTGCAGCTAGATAGTGTAAGCTGCTACTTTTGCAAGCCTTTATCACGTCGATTTCTTCTGTGCAAATGGGAGGGTAAGAAGTTTTGTCAGCCCAATCAGATTTTGATCTAATATTAATATGAACTTTCACCGAGATTAGGACTTTTTAAATTAAGACAGTTGGCAGAGAACCTTGCCGACAACTTAGGTGCTTTGACTAGAGCTTATGAGTTCAGACTTCTGCTTTCTCAAGCTAAAAGTATACATGGAAGTATTTTTTAATCATAAGTGTTCTAATTTTCATTATTTTCGCTGGTACTGCGTTGTGTAAGAAGTACTTCCAATTATGTTTTATCCTTTTTTCCTTATTAAAGAGAGGGATATGTAGTCATGTCGATTGTAAGTGGCAAAAGAAGAAGATGACTAAATGGCTCTGGCATCGTGTTGGGCAATGGGTTTCGACATATCAAGTGACTTTTTGCACATAGAATGCATGTTTCATGGTTTATGTTTTTATTTTATCTGACTGCACTCATTCAGCTTTAAGCTTTTCAAATTTCAGAATCATTGCTCGTTTGCTGTTGTGAGACCACCGATTAACCATTTGAGCTTGTTTTCTGCATTTTGCTATACAGATGTTATAAATCAAAGCCAAATGTTACTCTTTGTGAATTTAGGATATTGAGCAACTGGTTATTTGAATCATATAAAGTGACAAGCCATCGCAACAGAGACTATGAGTAGTTTGGGATGACTGGTGGCTGATGACGACAGTTAGTCATCTCCGTTACTTGAACAGGGTGTTGGGGGGCTTTTGTCTTTCGAAGCCCATTTGAAGGAGGCATTTGGAAGATGCCTCTACCTTCTACCATAAAAGAATAACACCGTTTTATTTCTGATCGTCGTCCCTGCATTGCTTAGTTTTATTTGAAAGATAGAAGCAAATTATGCGATTTTGGCTTGATGACGATGACAGAAAGGTACCTAGTCGGCGGTTCTGAGTTTCCGCTATTCTGCGTTCAAATGGCCTGTCCAAGATATATCACGAACCCTGAACCGACACCTTGTGTGCGCTTTTTCAAAAAGTCTTCGTCCTAAAGTCTTTTTCACATGCTCCTAATTAGTTTGGAATAGTTTTGTTATCAAGAATATTTTGCTTGCCGCAATGCGTTGGCCGACTGGGATACCCATCACCATCAATGCTAGATTAAGTTTATGCGCACAAATACATTTAGAATTGCAAGTAATATGTACTTAGCTTTGGTGCTCTTCGAGATGTTATTAGTAGTTAGAATTAGAAATAATCTTTTAAATTGTTCGTTGAGAAGCATTTAATGGGTAGTTGCAGGAGTAGACAAGATAATAGTAGAATTCAAATCTAAACATTGTTTAGATACATTTTCTAATGCTACTCTTCAATATCTGGTCGTATACTCCAAAGCCACTGCTCAAATCTTTATTATAAATCGTTATTTCGTTGATTCATAGTTGATTAAGACATAACTTGAGGTATTTAATTTCGATGCAGTAAACTTGTTGTAAAATCTTGGCTTCTTTCTCGTCTGACGCTTTTCTTCGGCTTTTCAAATGCCTGTTGATTTCAGGAGTCCCCAATGTGATTCAAGGACTGATAACAATTTTTTTCGCTTGCACCTATAGAAAGGTAAGTAGCATCAATCCACGGGCTGTTTTGGCCGTGAGGGCAAAGCACTTCCCGTGGCATCCGGTACAGGTGTCCCTGAAAGCAGCTCTTACGTGTGCATCATTTGGCATTCGTTTGTTGTCGGTATTTGAAGCTATGCGCAGATAACTATGATTCGAGCTTCATAGTTGTTTTTCCTATTTCAAAGACCTGGCCGTATAGTCTTATTCTCTGTGTCCTCAAATATCAGCAGCCACAAATTCACGAACGATAAGACACTGAACTGTTTTTTGCTGAAACGGGTATTCTGTGTTATACAGTAAAGTAGATTGCTCTATTATGGAATGCGTTTGAAGGCGTTTGAAGATGTCGCTGGAGGGATATCGAAATGTATTATTCCAATACAAACGCGCTAAGTGAGCAATAATCAAGACAAATCGGTCGTGCTTGAAGTGTGAATTTGGCGTTTTAGCATGAAAAAACTTGATCGGCGGGAGAAAAGTCAGAATTCTCATAGTCTATCCAGTTTTGTAGGCACATTCACGTTCTTTGCTAAGCTCTCTTCGTAGCTCTGTGCCTCATCTGCTTTAGTTATAAAGCCAAATCTGTTATTTCTGGTCACACATCATTTTCTTTGACATTTGCAAAACTGCATTTATTTAGCGCAGTTTTGAGGATTCATTTTTTCTAAATTGCACTCAAATTCAAATGAGTATATTTTTTCTCAATCGCAGAAAAGACAATGCAATTTTTCGCCAGTGCATCCAGCAATTATGAAGAATCGAATGACTTTTATTGATAAATGAGCAAGCAGAAGGAAGATTTTACAGCATGGTTTTGTTTAGAACAACCAAATGGGTAACCTAAAGACAAATTTCATTTCTACTTCACTGCTTGGAAAGCAAAAAGAGACAATGGTCCAACTGGTTAATATGTTAAAAAATACCATGTTGCAACTTGTGAAAATACCATGAAATCAGACCGTTGCGAAGTGAAAATAATTTTGATTGATGTGAGTATATGTACGATTTTATGGCTTCAAAAAAGGACTTCCATGATATTTTAGAATTCACACAATACTGCACTAGTCAGTTTAACTGAAAATATAAAGTCTTAATTACACAATAACAAATGTGGTTGTGGAGCCTCCAAAAGGCTCTCGACATGGCAAAGTATGTACATGACGTAATATTTCAGCCGGTGTTCCTCGTGGTTCTATCCTGGGTCCTCTCCTCTTTCTTGTCTTTATCAATGACTTGACTGATGGCTTTAAGTGTAACGTCAAACTATTTGCTGATAACACATCTTTTATCACAGTTGTGATAAAATGTATAAACTATGAAATGTATAAACTTTATTTTCGACCACATTTGGCCTATGGTGACATAATATATCACATTCCACAAATTAACTGCGAATTTAGCAAAAATGTCACTTTGACTAATTTGGTTGAAAAACTCGCATCGGTGCAATACTATCAGTAACTGGCACTTGGAAGAACACATATTTTGAGAAAATTTACGATGAACTTGGTTGGGAATCTCTCAACCTACAACGATGGGGTAGACAGCTTGTTCTTTTCTTTAAGATCATTAATAAGTTAACTCCAGATTACACTAGAGTTCCCATACCTCAGCATCAGGAACCTGATTCAGTCTTCATAGACGAAGAGTATCAAACAGAAAAATTCAAATCAAGTTTCTATCCGAACCGTCTGTCGGAATGAGAAAAACTTGACCCTGGACTCAGCGAACTGAATTTTCATAAGTTAAAATATACCTTCAGCGACACTTTAAATCCTTTGTGCCCGATAAATTATGGTATTGATGATACCTTTTCCTGCTTTGTCATGCTTATGACAAGAATAGACGTAATCTCCTCGATAGCGTGGATGCGCTCTTGCGACCCCATGGATTGGTAAATAGTTCAATTGAAAACTAACTCGAAATTGTCCTGTATGGTCATGAAAAGTTATCTTTTGATTCAAATGCAAAAATGTTGGAGACAATCTTGAGATACATTCGTGCCTCAGAACGATTTCGATAGGTTGTTGTTAAAAAACCTCCTCACTTGTGTAATGTGTGTTTTCTTTCAAGTGAATGGTCATGCATTTTAAACACAAAACATTACATGTGGCGTTTGTGGATCGGAACTGGCTCCTTTGCTATTCTTCCTCTTTGCTGATGACACCAATATTTATTTAGAATCTGATGATCCCTCAAATTGTGTCAAAATATGAAATAGGGAACTAATTGCAAAAAACGTGCACCAGAAGTTTTTTCTTGTTTCTCTTTACGATAGAACCAGACTCGTCCTAAAGATTTATTTTTGTATCAGGTTAGCACGAACAGAAAGAACACGTTTAAATGTCTCTATGTACAAAACCAGTTAAATGTTTTGCATAATTACAGCAATTTGACATTAAAAGCAACCAGTCTTGTGTAACTTTTCTAGAAAAGGCACCCAACATTGCCAAACCAATAACGTTGCCCTAACAACAGTAAGAACAAGCTTCAGGAAAATTATGTTGTCTTTAAAGCGTAAAGGTTTGGAACAAGATACGCTGAAAATCTAAAAGAATCTAAACAAAAAATGAAGAGCTGCACTATGCACAAAGTAAAGCACTCCAAATTCCTAATTAAAAACCTCAGTTTTGTTTACAAAGATCTTGTGATAAAATGAAAACGAAAAATTTATGATATCTTTATCGTTTATTCTCATTTCCTTAATCTTTTTGCGCTGAATCTTATTTGCATCTTTTGCTTTTGTTTTCTTGCAATCTTTTTGTTTACTAATAACCTTCAATAAAATCCTAAATTGCTAGCTGTTACAGAACACTCACGACTCAAATTACCAAAAGGACCTGAACAGTGTCTTATTACTCTTTTTGTTCTGTCCCGAAGTCAGTTCTCAGTGTTCTTCATAACATCACATACATAAGATCAACTACCACTGAAGATGTGAAGATCGCGAATCACCTATAACATTTCTTCTATAGAACATGTTTTACCTGTAATTAAGTAACGAGGAAAGACCGAAATGCCGCGAGCCCCCCAAAAAACTTAAATAGCATAAGTAAAATACTTTTATTTTGTAAAATATGCCTGTTGTTGCATCTATCTATAAGGGCTGCCTTCCAAAACAACAAGTTGTATCTTGGTCTTTGGTAAAGAGCTACTTTTTCGAGGGGATGTGACGCCCCCTCTAACCCCTCGCTCACAACCGTCTTAAAAGGAATGTCTGTGCATTGGTGCCTAGACCGTTAGAATTTGGCAATTAGAATATTGAATGTATATATGAATTCGATATTCTTATACACTTATTTTTTCGAAATATTCAATGTCCGTTGCAACCTATATTCAGAACGATATCAAGATGGGCGTAGCACAATGTTAACATATCAGTAGAAGCTACAGAACCACACAGTCCACAGTTGTGTAGCATCGCCCAGTGTGATCATCTGGGTTTCGTATTACACTATATTTTCTCGGTTTCATGACGAGTGGTCCTTGTTGTTTTGTATGTTCTTTTCTCACAAACTGCTTAGCAACATTGACATCAACGACCTTTGTATTGTGACGTAACTTAGGAAAGCTGCTCTTTGCCGACTTCAGGCTGTTCCTCATTTTGCCGACTGAATGTAATTTTTTACTTGATTTGCCGACTGAGATCTGGCCAGGGCCTGGCCATGGTCCCTCGCACTTTTCTGTGAAGCAAGAAGTTTTAAAACTGCAATAAAAGGGGAAAAGGCCTTGGCCCTCTATTTCTGCTAGCCTTGGCCCTCTATTTTTGCTAGCCTTGGCCCCCCAATTTCAAATTCGTTGCGTAGGCCCTGACAAGCATTAACATACAGTAAATAGAAAGTTTGGAAATTTAGCACACTTTGAATTTTTCACAGTTTTGACCCTTTGATAGAATATTTGACAAGCCAATAAAATAATAACGGACTAACGGACCTTCCAACCCCAAAGATCTTATCTGACATCGGGACAAGCCCTTGATAGAGAAACTACCCGAAGCGGCACGGTTTGCCGCTGAAGGAAAGGAATATTTTCGAGTTTTGATGATTCTAACTCGGTGAAAAATGCATTGTTCTAAGCAATTTTTACTAAAGCAATTCTCCTAATCGTACTGAAAATTCGTTTATTTTTGCGAACAGATTGTGCAGCAAGAAATCAAGCATTTAGTACCAACAAGAAATCTCGAAATCATTGGCGTCTGTAGAAAATGCCATGCAAGTGAGGGTGCCAGGACAGAAAAGGTGGTAATATCAAAAGAGTGTGACTGATAAGCTCCTCCGGTTAGCGTTTGCTTTCTTCTTTCTCTTCTTCATCTGACGTGCTGTGGGTGTGTCTATTGCGTCATTATTGGCCTCATCTAGACCAGGCTCGTCCAACGCGTGGCCCGTGATGTTATTTATGTGGCCCGCGCTTGGGTCAAAGTTGATAAAGAACTGCATTGTATTTATTCAAGTTGTAAGAGAGAAATTGATTCATATTATTTACGAGATTATTCGTTCATGTTATTTACGCGCACGTACACTTGGCGACTTCCAGTTCAACGCAGGGAACCCAACCCTCTATTCTGTGCCCAAACTATGAACACGCCGCGCTTGTTTAAAAGCCATGTTTCTAAAAAGCGGGGAAGAGGGGGAGATAGTGAACTTGGTAAACGCAATTCAAATTATCGCGGATAACCAATTTTTCCGTAGCTAAGCAAATGACTTTGTTATGTGTTTGATTTTGTTTGAAAAAATGGTAGTGCGGAAGGAATACGATATTACTAGGCATAATAACTAAGCATTCATCTCATGATAAGTTGGAAGGCCAGTTATATGTTCATGACTTAGAAGTTTATAGTCAAAAATCTCTAAAGAAACCATATTTTTCCAGTTCGGATTGTGCCACAAAAGTAAACATGCCGTGATTTACTTTTCTTCTTGGGAGCACATACAAATATAGTAAATAAAAATTGTTAAAACTGATGGCAGAAGCAGATTAAGACCTGGCTCGAACGGGAATGATTGCGAACTGTTCCAGTGGTGCTCAAAATTTTTGAACAAACGGGAAATGAACAGTTCAGACGGGAACGGAAAATTGCAAACGTACCCATGCACACAAATTTTACCCTACTACAAAACATCTTTCCTACCCCGGGTTGTAAACTACCCCGGGAACGCTTTACGCTCCTCTTCTTTCCCGGAGTCTTACAATCAGGTCTTCTTTGAAGACTAGAATAAGATAAACTTATTTCCTAACATTACCAACTGAAAAAAATACACAGCAGCAGCACTTCATCCGACGACTTATTAGTTTAATTTTGCATATGTAGTAATATTCGAAACGTAATAGATATATTGTATATGTCAAACAACAACAACAACCTACTGAAAGGTATTAGACGATGCCAATTCTTGTTGAAGCCAAATTCTTAGCTACATTTCAAGATGGCTACAAGAAGGAATGCGAAAAAGTTGTACTTTCCCGACGGTGCTCTTCTCAATGCTATGGAAGTAGCTGTTGTCGAGTCTGAGAGAAGAAAGACTGAAATAATGAAAGAGCCGTATACTGTGTACCTTGTCGAAACAAGGTGAGACTTGCTTAGTTTCGTAAACCTTGTTTTTATCTCGACGTGTTAAAGATTGCAAAACAGATGGAGTGCTGCAGTTCGCAAGTTTGTTGCCGTTTCAATGTCCTCTATAAGCTGCATTAAATCACTTACTAAGGGTTGTTGCTTCTCCTGCTTTCGCCAAATGACTGCCACAGTTTAAGGGCATCATCTTTCTACCGAAGAAGCCTAAGATCTAAGTCTAAGATAACACGATATGTCTTGTAACTGCTAGGCAACTTGAAACTGAGCATGTTACAGGGTTGCGTGTTAAGAAACCTGATTTTTTACTATTTCTTGAAAGGAACCAATGACTAAAACCAGGTAAAGGGCAGAAAAGAAATGTAAATACGTAGCATGGAATGTAAAAATGAAAGACTGACCTGTTACTTTGATACAGCAAGGAAATATCAACAATAGCTGTTTTGTGTGAACAAAGAAAAGTTCATGATAGCAGGCTACTCGAGGGATGGAATTCTTGCGGCAAAAAATTGATAAAAATCTAGCGAATTAGAAACACTGCAATGCAACGAGAATGAACAACAACAAATACACGTAAATCAGAGAGCCAAAAGCTCTGATGAAGCCCTGTATGCTGGGGCAAAATATCAGCCTTCTCTGATTTAGGTGTATTTGTTGTTGCTCATTCTCATCACATTGAAGTGTTTGTTATTTGCTACAATAGTTGTTCTGAAGTCAATTCAAAAGGAATCCATATGGAGCAAAACCGAAATTTTGAAATTCGAAGTATCATCAGGGGATGGCATGACCCTGAACACCCCAAACATAGTCTGCCTTCGGGGTATGTCTGTGGGCCTCATCAGTGCTGTGCCCTCCAAACATAAGCCTTGAACAGTTAATTTCCTGACACTCCTTCAGAAATGATTTAACTTGTACCCTTGCTAACAGTACAGTTGTTTTGCCTGGATAACACATTACCGAAGGGGCACAAAGATGTGCCCTGAAGTGAGATTGCACCTTGAGGAAGCACCCTCAGAAAATTTTGAGTTTGAAGATGTCTTCTTTCTCTCTGCTGGTCTCCTAGGGACCTAATTAGCTGACCCTTAACAAGCTTTTGCACCCCTATAAAATAGTCAGCGGGAAGGGCTTAGTATGACAGTTTTTGACAAGATGTCTCACAAACACAGTCATTTCAAGCATGTTTATCTCATGGAAACCTTTTTGTTATTGTTATCTCATGCACAAAGAAGGTTTTTGTAAATTTTCTGCTATAGTTAATTCAGTGTGCAATTTCAAGTTTTGGTATGCAGAACTACACTGACTTGACACACAAATCTGCCATACTCCACAGACAGGCCTAAGCGGGAACAAAAGTGTCATGTTACCCAATTATCTTAGTGACGTCTAATAGACTAAGACTTAAGGAGACTTCCTTGTTGCACATCCTTGACATGAATCATGAGCCATGGATTTTGGGCCTAGGGAAAAATGTAGAAACACAGTCATGCATGTCTTTGCCTAAATTCCAAATAATAATAAAATCCAAAACTCTTTCCAAAAATCCTACAAAAAAATTCATGTAAAATAACCACAGCTATCCAAAGTTATTATTAACTGTCTGTGAGACCAACCCACAAGCATATGTATCCAGGGCTAAAAGACTGGAGTATTATGGAGTGTTTCAAATGTCTAGGCTCTTTTGTTTAACAATTCATTCTTTCTGATCATTCTTTCTGTTTTACCATATTTATGCATACCTCACTGTCTTCCCCAGAAGGAGTACCAAGGGACTTCAGAGAACATTGCATCTTTTGCTATTAAGTGTACTTATTTCTCTGAGCCTATGCTCATAGCCTGATAACGAAATCCTAACCTTGGAAACGCAAAAAGGCATTTCAGGTTCATTTCAAAATTATTTACCAAAGGTAGAAATTCAATACAAATACTGTTTTACAATTGGCTCTGCAAAAAAACTTCATACATAATATAAGAATTATAAACCACAAATTTACAATAAAACAAGCACACTTAACAGATTAAAAACAGACAAAAATTAAAAATGTAGAAGATGTGTTTATGAATAATAAAGTTTCAACATAGTGATGCCCCTTATGTACATAAAGATAACTTTTTCTTGATTTTGGATCTGAAGGCATTAGTTGAAAAAACCATTTTGTATCCAAATTAAGAATGTTTAAGAGACTACCCCCACGATACGCAAATGACATCTGGTCATTGCCAGTTCTCTTGGATGCTGTCCAGAGAGCCTAGAACGAAAAGGTTCTCCAATCAAGACATTGAGGTGCAAAAGACTTCAGAGGTTTATAAACTGTAGAGCCTGTTTCTTTATCAATCAATTTTTTGAGGGCTGACCAAATTTCTGAAGCAAAAGGAGCTGCAGATGCATCAAAAAGGCTACATGTTACTATTCTGACGACTTTATTCTGTAATTTTCAAGCACATATAGTTTGGGAGCACAGCAAGAGGCTCAGACAGAACAACAGTAGCTTAAGTGTGGCTCTGTTATGTTTCTATATAAATCAACCAAAATGTCAGTTTGGACAAAATTACAGGCATACTTTGAAAGGCCAATTGCTTTGGAGATTTTATTTTGAACTGTGCTAATGTGGCTTTCCCAGCTAAAGCAATAATCAGTCATTGTCTCGTTTACCAGCTGGATTTCTTCACCTGTGGATTTCCTCCTACTTTAGAAAAATGAAGTGTGCTAAGATTGTTCTTCAGTTTCTTAAGTTTTGGCTTAGAACCAATTATCGCAGCCTCAGTTTTAACAAAATTAAGGGAAAGCTGTATAGCCATCTTTCCATGCGTGAGAGCTCCTCGTTGATAACAAGGTTCAGATCTCCATACCTAGTTGCCTTTGTCTTCTCATCAAGGTATTGCTATAATTGATCTTATATAAGCCCTTCGAATAGTCTTGGCATGACTGGTAGAACAGATATAGGCCTCCAATTTGACCAGTCATTAACTTCACCCTCTTTCAAGATAGGGGCCACACAAGCTATTTTCTAATATTCTGGGAAAGACCCTAAAAATATGTAAATATTAAAAATGTCACAGACAGAATGACATATCACAGGAAATGCAATTTAAAGGTTACTCCAAATGTCTTCAGATGCAAACAATTACGAATTTCATATTACCCAGAGCTCTGTCAATTGTAAGTGTCCTGAAACTGGAGGCAAGCGCTATGCTAGCCGAGACTGCTTTTTTGCCAAAATAATAAGAAACAAGGTCCTTAGCATAATTTTAGTATCAGCAAAGCAAAGTTCAAATGTTTATCTTTGTGTAATCAGGTGTCAATATAAAATATCCAAGATAATATTGACTGAGAAAAAAAGGAAGTGTTGACTTTTTGGCTTTTGTATTCCTTTTTTCAAATCTACCTTTGTGTGGGGATGAGAAAAATGTGAAAGAAATATGTCGCTGTTATTCTTAAATGATTGATATAACGTCTTGGTCATTCAGAATATGTTCTGAAAAAAAAATATTTCTAACCCATTCCTCTTGAAAATTCCAAGATTTTTCCCCAGACTTTCTGCCAAAAATTTTCCCAAGGAAAATCCAATCAACATGTGATCTCGGATAAAATCCCAAATTTGGCAACCCTGAAAACACAAAAAATGCTTAGAATTCAATCTTATCCATCTAAGGAAAATTTCTCCACGGAACCCCAGGCTCTCCCTCCCAGAAAAGACGATTCAATTTCATGTGCATTACAGGGATTTGGCCAGTCTACCTGTAATCTTCCTGACCATTGAAAATGGGATATAATACACTTCAATTACGCCTCCGCTTCCGAAATGATGACACCTCCCCATAAAGCATTCTTTTAGATTATTGACTGAGATTATTTGGTTGACAGGAATGTGCCACCATGATTCAGCTCAGTAGTACATTGATAGTAAGAATCATAGTGAAAAACTATCCAATAAAGACTGCAAGCAGCGCTTCTGATGTTCCATACATCACACCCATATTCCTATATTGTGGCATTGCAACCTTAAAGTCCTACTCTTGTTAAAAACCATTGCTGTTTATGTTGATTCATCACCTTCATTAACCAATTATCACCACGGCTCAACAAATCTCTTTTTGGAGGAGGCAGTGGCGGCTCCAGCCTGGGATAAGTGGGGAGACAAAAGGTGTGTCAGGGACAACGCCCTTTTGAACCACGCCCTTTCCCCCTGTTTGAAATTTTTTCTTCAGGAGGAAACACCTGTTGTCTTCCAAGAAATGTAATTTACATGAGACGATCTAGATAACGTACATACCACCCCCCCTGAAGTTTTCTTATCAGGTTTGCAAAAATCTCAAGGACCAACTTTCTGAAAAAGTGGGGGGGGGGACTAGTCCCCCCATTCCCCCCGTGGCTCCGCCACTGGGGGGGGAGGTACGATGTCGCACAGGGGTCATGCGGACAAGTATCACACATGTAGTCATTTAATCTCAAAATCAATACCTTGTGACTTTTAAAAAGAAAATGATACTTTTCGTTAACATTTTGCCAGTTAAATTGAAATGGAAAATTTTTGCCTGTAAGTCACATTTTCATCATTCAGTGCAGACTTTTCTGAAAAATTTGGAAAAACATTTATGCAAAATTTGCAAGGAGGGTGCGTGCTTGAATGAATTTTGTTTGCTAAAGGTCTGAGATGTTTGAGATGGATTTAAAACTAACGTCGGCATTGAGTTATAAAGGACCATGGATCTGTCGAGGACGCGAATCTCTTCATGTTTGTTTTAGGCAATATGCTTACATCGTACACCATTTCAACTATATTCATCCTTCAGAGCTCATATTTTAGCTAGCAGCAAAACCATATACTCTTCTTTCTGTGCAAAGTTTTGTCTAACTTTCTAAGTTAATATGTTTCTTTATCTTCGTTATTATGCAACCAAATCAATGTATTGTTAAGTAATGCCTCTGTTTTTCAGGCCGATTGATTCAAGTTTTAGTGGCGAAACGGGATCAGCTCTTTGGAGAAGATACAGTGAATTTGAACTTCTAAGAAATTACCTTATGACAGTGTATCCATTTGTAAGTAAACAATATCTGCTTTGTCCTTTTTTCTTTTATGTATTTTCCTTTCGCAGTGGCCTTTTCTTTAATTTTTTCATTAACAGGCCTTGTCAGTTATCAACTGGTTTTATGAAATGTATTTCTGTTGAGTTCGTATTTTGTTACGATAAAGCTCCTTACACATAAAAACATGACTTTTTATATGCTCACCCCTTTTGCAGCCGCATTGCACAATAGATAAAAACACAAGTAAACTCTAAGCAAATTTTAGTTTTTTCATCTAAAGTTAACTGTTTGAAAGTCCAACAGGGAAACGTAAGCATGCTGTTGGCTTCTTGTTCCAGGAAAGCTTAGAGCTATGACAATGGACGCTAGCTGAGCAAACGTTTTAAATGAGTAAAATTTTTAGCAGGAAGGGCGATTTTTCTGGGGAGGTGCACTTTTAAAGAAAATGCGGTATGCTGGATTGTCTAGATATCAACGTTGTTTTCAAAGAATAAAAGTATTATAGACAATCATAAGTATTTCTTTAAGTACTGTTTTGATCATGCTGATTGTGTGAAGATTTATCCTACAACTGCATTAGCTGAAAATTAAAAGAAAGGGCTCTTACAATTGTGGAACTGCCAAACTGCCAGATTGTAAAATGAAAATGTATTTCTGGTACAGCAAGGTCATTTTTTTAATGTTAGATATTTTAAACCCTGTTTTCCTAAAGGTAGGAAATCCTATCTCCTGCAGGCAAAATGAACTCACTAGGTCTCTTGACACTTTCTGTCACTTTCTGTCACTTTCTTCACTAGGTCTCTGGGGGCTCAGAGAACACCAAGTGCTCACAAAACCCCATTAAATTTGCCTGTTTTCTAATTTGCATTCATTTCTCCACATGTTTGCCAAGAACAAGTGCTCTTCTCTATATGTTCACTTTTCGAACATCACCTGACAAGTTTTTTTATCTTTGATCTAGTAACGCTTAACTAGGGCATTGTTTTAAGTGTAAATATGGATTAACTGTAAATTTTTAAATGTTTAAAGCTATCCTGAAGCTCTTCAGAAATTTTTTAATTATCGAACATTATTTTTTTGCAGATTGTGATGCCACCACTTCCAGAGAAAAGGGTTTGGCTTTTCATTTCAACAAGACTACAATGAATTTACTTCAGTTTATTTTAATTTTTACCGGCTTTTTCTTTTGTATTTCCAGATGCTTTTACATTTCTTTGTTTGTTTCTTGATTTTTACAATTAACTGTTTGAATGACTTTGATACTATTTACATAAAGTATTTCCAGGATCAAGACATGCCTTTTTATGGAATTACCAATGGTTTGAGTCAATTTTTTAATTTGATTATGATGATATTTTTAAAGCAGGGTCTAAGGTTTCGGTTTTTCACAAGCCCCGTTAATGAAGTAACAGATGTAATTTTCCGTAGATCAATATGCAGAAGCTGCAGCTTGCAACCGATAAATTTGATCCTGAATTCATCGAACGAAGGCGACAAGGACTTGAGGTGAGTCAGGAGCCACCTTCACTGGGTTGAAAGAATGAATGGTAGTAGAAGGAGAGTCGATTTTTGTGAGTTGCTGGCGGCTAAGGCGATGTATTGTCAGCCTAAAAGCAAGGACCTCCAGAGTTGCTATTCTTGAGACCCTAAGACATGGCTCGCTATGTATGATATCTCTGTTGTTGATTAACACTGCCTATAGCAAGATGGGTTTTACTAACGAAATGAAAGAGTTCAAAGAAACAGAAAAGATAGCGCATATGAAAACTGGGATCCGCTTGTTGTAATTCAATCGTAAGTTATGTACTTTTACAAGCAATGAATCGTTATTTGGAAGAAGGAGCCAGTTGAAGAAAACAATTCATTTTAGAAGGATTTGATATATTGAATTTAATATGAGAGATGTTTTGAGAAGGAAAGTTTAAGAACCAATGAATGCCCTCTGCTTTCTCTTGTCCAAGTGGATTTTTCAAGAAAGATTGATATTCAAACATTACTGTTATTATAAAATTATAGCATGATTAAGTTCTTTAAATGTTGTTAGATATTAGAGGGTTTTTAGAGATCTTCAGATTTTTAGCTACAACGGTTCACTGGTCGTTCGAATTTTAAAGTATCATATTTGACGGTTGAAAAATCATTACGGTTGAAAAAGTATTAGCAGCTTGGGGGTTGAAACAGTCTTCCCACTTTGAATGCTAAAACTGACACTTTTTACATTTTCCTTTTTTTAGTGCTTCCTCCTGCGCTTAGCTTCACATCCTACCATATCACAAGACAAGATGTTCGTCGGCTTTTTGAATCAGGTTTGAACCTTTCACATCAGCCATGATAAAAGTGCTGTATCTTCACTTGTTTGCTCTTTCGATGCTCCAATAGTATGAATCATGCCTCGTGCGTTAAATTTTGCTACACGAGAAGAACCCGTCTCTTCTTGACAAAGGCCAGGGTCCAGAGCTTGTAGACTGCTTGACTTGTGGTTTGTATCATATTTCAGTTTTGTTGAGGCTGCAACCCTTTCTGAGGCACTTCTCCTTAAATAAGTGAATAATCTTTAATATCTTTACTCAGTATTATACTTTTCTCTGCACTAGGAAATGAACTGGAAAGAAGCAGTTGTTGCAACGGGATTTCAGTCCAAGGTACGTTTGCCAATGCTTGGTAATAATTATGATTATTGTAATAAATGTTCGTGTTGTTGATCTATTTGAAATAATAATTGATACGTTGCTAGAATTTTTCTCTATGTTGTCTTTAACTAACCCGATTTTTCACTTTTGTAAATTATTTAACTCTAATATTCAATGCGTCGTCTTGCAGCTAAATGTTGCTCGTTGGAAGCTGATCAGTGCCACCACAAGTGTCAAAAAGCCAGACCAGTTTGTACTGCTTCTTCGCTTCGTTAAATCGGCTTCTTCCAATGTTCAACCTTAGACCTCATTATCTGAAGCAAACAAATTCTTACATCAAAACTGAAATAACCTATTAATTTTGCTTCACATGGGTAAAATTTTATTTTGTATCATTTGGTAGGCAGTCAAGGTAGCATAGCCACCAGATCTATGTTTGAGTAGGAAGTTCAGGTTATTTTTTTTGCTGCCGATAGTATTGGCAGATCAATTAAACCTTAAGCTAGGCCTATTTGACGTGACGTTCTTAGTTGAATAGCAAACGAAGGACTAATTCAGCTTATCGACCGGTTTTTCAATCAGGAAGTGAATATAAGCGGGAGAAGGGTTTCAGCAAAGAACCCATATACAAATTTCGCATAAAGCTGTGTTTTTGCTGAAACTTTAGCAAATATTTGAAATTCAAAGTCTGCCTAACCTAGAATACCCATACATTTTTTTCGACCCGGGGATATTGGCAACCATTATAACCTTTTAAATTGCTATAATCATCATGTTATCCAGGACGTTGGAAATGTACTTCCATAATCCATGCATTATTTTCCAGGCGCTTTGAAGATGTGAGGAGCTACTGTGAAAGCCTTTCTGCCAATATAAACGCTCTGATCAAACTGCAGCAGGTAGAAGTGATTTTACTGATCAATACACGACAACTTTAAAAGGCTGATTAGATGTCAAGAGAAAAATACTTTTCGCTTTATCTCCTTCCTCTCCTACATCATTGAGGGTGATAGAAACTAAAATTAAACATTAAATTTTGTGAATTACTTGTACAAACTTGGCAGTTAAGAATTATTTCTTCTAATGAAGTTCTGTTTTTATGTTCAAATAACTTTTAAAATTTATGATGTTGCTAGTCTAGTATTTTACAGCCGTGAACATATTGGAATCGCAAAGACATTGCCTAGAGCAGGTGGTATCTTCTGTTCTAATACTACCCTTATAATACCACTGTTTTAATGTTATTCATTATCAGTATAATCTTACATTTCTAAAATTTTGTTCTGTTATAGAGAATGACTGAAAGACAGTTGATTGTTGCACAGAACCATGGTGGATATGGAAAGTTGCTCAGGTGCTCTATCTTAATTGTTCTATGCCCTACTCTAAACTTTACTATATACTATCAGCTTTATACTATATACTATATATTATATACTATATACTATATACTATATTCTGTATTCACTATATACTGTATATACTTTATACTATATTCTATATACTATAAACTATATACTATGTACTATATACTATATACTATATACTATATACTATACACTGGGGTCACAAAAGTATTGAAACGGTGTTAAAAATGGTGGCTCACAGAAGTAACGGGCCTAAGCCGACAGGTTTTTGAAACAGAAGTTCAGCACGAAGGTGTTTTTGTAACGAACGCTTTCGCCACGAAATGTTTTCCCTTATTCCATTGGCTTTTGTATGAAAATAAATTTGAAAGACTACCTTATTGTTTTGTGGGTGAGTAGTCAGGGAAACATTGGACCTTTGCTTAAAAAAATTTCTGGAAAATATTTTTGAAGGGTTCATAGAAAAATGCCTCAAAATACAGACAATACTTAATAAGTATAAGATAATCTAATTATACTTGAAACTAAATACGTGCACCTTTGTTCCGACTTTAAATATATTACCGAGAAGATCATTTTGGCTGAGAAATCAGGTTTTAGGCTATTAAAAGTGATATCATATAAACAATTTCTAAAGCTTTCGTTTAGTGATCAAAATAGTTTTCTTGCTAAATAACATGCTTTGTTATGCTATGATGCTTTGGGTGTAGATGATTCTTTTCGTTAATATCAAAAGCATAATAAACCTTGAACGTTTTGCTTCAGTTTTTTTATTGTCATGTGCTTAGGTAATGAGCAAATCAGAATTCAAGATAAAGAAGTCATTAACATCAAATGTAGAGCAACTCACCGTGTGTCAGTATTGAAACTTTAAAATTAAAGTGTTCTGCTAACGTCACTTTCTCAGTTATAATTTTTTCGTGAAAAAGAAGCTTTAAGCAGTTCGCTTCAAATTTTAACATTTCTCGTTCACGTTTCTTCAAAAAAGTAACACTTCGTGGTCATCTTTCATGAATACTCAGAGAATATTTTACAGAATTTTGTTTAAGGAATGCTTCAAAGTTTTGCTGAATTTTCCCTCTCAAAACAGCAAACCAATCATCAAATTTTCTTTAAACCGAAAGTCGAAGGAATGGCGAAAGCATTTTCCCACCATATCATATCGTTTCCAAGCCCCTTCACCTCATAATTCTGATTTTGAAATTGGTCGGCTTAGGCCCGTGGTCACTGTGAGCTGCCATTTTGACTTACCGTTTCTATACTTTTGCGACCCCGTTTCTATACTACATACTATATTCTATATACTATATACAAATTCTATATACTATATACAAAATGAAATATACTCTATACCAAATACTATATACTATATACTATATACTATATACTATCTACTATCTACTATCTACTATATACACTCCGGTTCGAAAAGTATTGCACCCCCACCACAAAAGGGCAGCATTGCCGCCAACTTCTTTTAGCAAACCGAAATTCAAATAGCTATAGGAAGTTAAATAAATGTTTTAAGATATCTGTTTGGGTGGAAAATAGTGGAAAGTTTATCAAGGAATAGTAATGAAAATAAAAAATAAAAAAATACGCTTGATATTTTTTTATTTCTAAGCCATGTCGACCACTGCGAAAACATGAAAAACGAGCTATGATGATAGAAGTACCTGTAAAATAATTGCAATTAAAAATATTTTTCTCAGCACAAACTTGTAAGATTTCATTAAGGCGAACTCGTAGATACTCGCCTTTTGGTTGGGTGCCCGAAACTCTTCATTTCCCTGTCTGATATTAAAGAATTATATAATATAATATATTATATATACTATATACTATATACTAAAATATATACTAAGATTTCTTGGTAAGTTTGCTTAAGACGTCGTTCCTCGGCTCTTTTAGTGAATGGAGTGGTATAGAGAATGAAATGGCCGATGGTTTACAAATGGGTGGTCACCACATCGACAGGTCTGTACATTTGTGCCAGAATTGTTTCCTTTTTTTGTGAATGGTACAATAATCTACCACTTAACGTTTATTCAGAACGTATTGGTGGGATTGTTAGCAAATATTCTTTCATCAAATTCATATTATTGGACTTGCGGCTGAATTTTTGCTGATCTATTTTCCTTGAAATAAAGAACAGTTAAGTGACAAAGATTTAGTGTAAAGCCCCTGATTTGCAGCTGTATCTGATTGTTTTTTATTGTTGAAAGAAAAGATTTTGTTTTAAAATGGTTTAGTAGATAATAGATGAAGTTGAACAATTCATTGCTTACAATTATTTAGATACATGGAAGTACAATCTTTCAGTGTTTGTAGACAGTAATCACGTTAGCATGTTCCCTCTTCCTTCCTTCAAGTAAGCCCGCAGACATACCTTTGGTCGTTTGATATGATTTTTTATTGTCTGGGATTTGTGTATAAGGGGTACGGTACAAGAATAATCTGCTGCAATCGCCACAGTGTTAGGCCATGCTTTTTATCACTGTAGGATCAAAATAGTTTCTAAGATTTCAGCTCTCATGTTATCTCATCGATAAAATCTTATCTTCTTAATAGATATAACCAGCAAACTACATCAATTTTGGAAGAAGAAGGCACTGTTTATCTTGACCAGCTGAAAGAGTACCTCTTTTTCACGGAGTCATTGAGGTAACAAGCTCAATCCACTGGATTGTCTTTCTTGCTCCTATTCTTCCATGCTACGAGGTACAGCAAGAGCCCGCAAAATGGAAGCCAGTTTGTCAGAGACTTCAGGTTGACATTTAGTGTTGCCCTCCATTACATACATTTTGTCAAAATCAGCCATAGTAAATTTATGGATTCAAACAAATTTTATATTTTAGGAACCCTTGTTAAAATTGGATGCCAATTTTTTTTATAAAGGTTTCACGCAAAAGCATTTATCTATACTTGTATGCATGCTCTGGTGATGATAACCGTATGTTCATCTCTGAACTTCGGCCGACCTGCTTGAGATTATGCTCCAAGCTTTGCGATCCAAGATTTCTGATTTTGCTTTGATCCATGCTCAGCTGAGAGCAGCTCTTGATGTGGTCAAAATACCGGATTTTCTTTTGTTGGTTAAAGTTAGAGGGAATGTCAAGTAACAAAAGCACGTTTTCTCTTGGCTTTTCCCAAAAGATTTCAGCTAATATTTCTCAAGTCCTCCACCATATTATAAGAAACCTTTCAGGCTGTTTCTCGAAAAACTCCCTTTTAATAAGAAACCAAAACAGGCTGTGTACTAGAAACTGACTTCTTTTTTGCCGGCTCCAACTGTTTTTGTAACATGTCAACTACATATGTTATGGTGTTGGTAGATTTTGTTATCATTTTAGCAAATCACAGCAACCAATAACCAGTTAGTTAATGAATACTTTCATATATTCGTCAACAATCCTGCAGCTTAGCAGCTGCTTGATTCGCAGATAAACATATTTTTGTCGTGAGAGATGCAAAGACATTGCAGCGTAACCTTGCCTTTTTTGCCAGTTGACAAATCTGATTGAACTTCTTATTGAGAAATGTAGCGACCCCCAATCATAACTTCGTTTTCAGAAGCTCTTGTGGTTCACATTTTTCACAGGGAACTGGACCACAATAGACATCAATTTTTCTTATGAATCTGTGTATTTCATTGACATTGCAGGGCAATCGTGAAGAAACAACAGCAGAAACAATGCGAGCTGGAAAAGGCTGAAGATGCGCTTAGTGCCAAAGTAGCCCAAAGGGACGAGGTTCTTAGGCAAATCCAAGCTGAAACCGTAATTTTTATGTATATTGGTTTATCTTGATGTTCATTAGTAAATTACTACATTTTTTTGGGAAAATCTGACTGCCAGATTTCGGCTTGAAAAGCTGCTGTCAGGCAATCCTTTAACACTGGAAAACCATCTTGAAATTTGAATGTAGGTATAGCCGAACAATATAAAAACCAAAGGGTTGTTGCCGCATTCTAAGGAAAAACTATTATCATTGATCCTTACAAGGTCGGGGATTCATCTTATTGACTATATCTAAAGGTTGTTTGTACGGGTGTTTTGTCATTAGAAACAAGGCTCATTTCATGCATAGAGTTGGTTTGAAGCTCTGCTACAAACATTGGCAGTTGTATCCTGTGGTTGAAGCGTTTTAAGTCTGCCTTCTTTTCAAGGAAAAGTGCAAATTTAGCTTTTCAAAACTAGTAGCCTTGATTGGCGTTAAATCTGCTTTTCATCATACCTTTATTCATTGAAGTGGATCAGAAAGTTATTTTGTCTTCAGGTCATGAAATTTTCCTAAAACTTGCTTTTAGCCTATATTTTTGGATCTTTTGTTTTTGCCATTCAATTATCATGATGCGCCGTAGTTATCTTGTTGCTAACCTTTTTTATTCAAGGGAGAGAACCCTCCGCCATCGCCTCCAGGATTTTCCTTGAAGGGAATTTCCAACATTTTGTTTGGAGCTGAGACTGTAGAGGCAAAACAAGAGAAGGCAAACGAATTGAGTAAACAAGTTGAAGAAGCTGAAGAAGCTGTCAGGGAGCGACAGGCCGAGGTCAAGTAAGATGCTTGAGGGGTTTTTTATCTTCTTAGAAAATGTTGAGAAAATGCTCTTGAATTTCTAAGTATTTTTTAACAACTGCAGTGAAGTTAGTCTTGAATTATTAGGTCTAAGCAGTAGTGGAGGGACCCAATGGTCTTGAACCAAAATATTAAGTATAATAATCGCTCCTCCTTTCCAGACTAGTTTGTTTTTACAGATTGATGTATTGAATAGTTTTAAATGCTTTCGTTTCCTTGCGCGTAATTCTATTTTCTTACTGTCTGTCATGTTCCGTTCTTTTTATCGCTTCGACAAAAATATGGAAGTTCAACTAGTTTTACTATGCCCGGGTGTCACGTCAGTTATTTAGGTGTTCTATAGAAATTTTTCTACTTTATTTAGCCTCTTTGTGGACAGAGCCTTGAAGGACTACGATCGATTCAAAAAGCAAAAAGTCCGTGACCTCACGGAAGTCATGCAGAATTATATAAAGATGCAAATCAAATTTTGCAAGACGGTAGATCTTTTTTGAATTTATATGTTGATATCTCGTATTCAACTAACTCGCCCTTGTCTTTTAAACAGACAAAATCATCCTAAACCATGAATGACAGTATTTTGTTCTGATTGCTGTGATATATTTCGTTAGAATGATCGTTAGTTTAAGCGCATTTCTTCCCGAAGATAGTTATTAACCATTTTTGTTGCTTTACCAAGATCTGACTAAGACTTATCGATTATGATAAATTATGTTATAATGTTTTGCTAATGTCACCGAACAGTCTATGTTGGAAGGTGATTTGTTTTGAACTTTAATGTTTAACTAAGAGGATATAAAACAAATGCAAAATAGAATGATATTGCTTCCATGAGGTTTTTCTTGATTTTTAAAGCTAGTTATATTCCAACATTCATGATGTTGAAGAGCTTGAATTAGGATGACGCATTATCTTTTTACCATTCCAGGGATTGCAGTCTTGGAAATCAGCCAAAGAGTGCTTCGCTAACATTTGAACTTAATAACTTAGGCATATGATTCTTTGTATCGATGAATAACAAAAAAATTATTACTTTGAATTTTGGACTCAGCATCTTTTCCAATTATCTAGGATATTCGTAACCATTCATCATTTTTGTTGCAGTTGTACCTTTTAATTTAGACAGAATTATCGACCAATGCAAAGATGTCTTTTGAACTTCTCCTACATCTCTAATGCTTAAGGTTTATTTTGCAATTGCTTTTCAATCCATGAAGGCGGACTTAGTTTTTTGAAAAAAGGAAACTCACTTATTATAAATTGAGGCAACAGAAGCCCTTGGCAACCAAGGTGGTAGTAGGTTTGTTGTTGTTGTCCACGATGATTATGTTTTTGCCAGGCTTCGCCGAGTAATTTTTTACATTCGTGTACGATGCGTCATCAAACATTGCTTTATGTCTCTTATTTTACACAATTATACATCCTACGCATTACATTTGAAAAGAAACCTTGCAGGCACCTTTTGCAAAACAGTTTGTGCTCGCAGGCACAACAATTTTTCAGGGAGGTCTTGTTTTTGCTCACCTTAGGGTGCATCCGTAAGACACGTAAATTTTAGAAGTATTTTTCGATAGTAGGCTCACGATATGTCTTATTCCGAACAGACAGTGTGCTAGCTGCTATTTCCAAACCATGTTAACATTTCTTGGGCAAAAAAGGACAGCGAATTACTAGTTCTTCAAGTCCTATTCCGTAAAAGCCTCTTGTAACACCAGCTGCAAAAGAACAAATCTCATGTCCTTTTTTTCCAATAAGGAGCTCTCTTGCTCATTTTCTCACAAAAAACTTTGTTCAGACATGGACAGTTAATCTGTTGCAAACAGCTCTCAAAAAGATGAAAGTCAATGTAGAACTACTTGATTCTTGTAAATTTTGATAAGTCAAGTTTTGAAGCTACGAACTGTGTAATAAGCCCTTTTCTAAACAGTTGTTTTTTAAGCATTGCCTTAAGTGATAGAAGAATGAACATTTGTTGATACAAAAAAACTTGGAAGTCAAGGGAAAACGCTATTAATGCCAAATGAAATGGGGGCAGTTTACCCTCTTGCTATCAAAATTACCCATCAACGTGCATTTCATTGTGCAAGTTTTGCCAAAAAGCCAAAAAGAAAATTTGTATTTCGGCAACAAAGGGGATGAAGCACAATCTTAAAATGCGTGTTTGTAGTTTGAAAAGTAATCTGTTTTTCATTTGAATCCTTTTCCTGAGTCTAGACTATTCTCATCTAATAACTGGATGAAATTTGACACAAAGAGATAAGAGCTGGCACGATAAGAATTGTTAAAATAAATGAAGAAATTTGATAAAATACACCATGACTTGTTTGACATGACCGTTTTTTTTAATTTCCATATAATGGATGATTTCATATACTCAAATATGTTTATAAAAATAAAATAACGGATCGATTAATACATTTATACACTGTTCTACATTAATCTACATTAAAAAACAACGAAATCCCAATAACCACTCTGGATTCTGCAAAATAAGGATAAGCGCTTACCACAGGGGGGCTTTTGAGGGTGGGCGTACGCTCGAGGAAGCCACGTAAGAGCGGCCATAGAATTTAATCGTGTAGCGTACTATAGTGGAGGGGGAGGTTTAATGCAGAATACAAGCCGATAGCTAAGTTTTTGGTAAAACTGTCTGCAACTTCAGCCAAAAGATGAACAAATTGATTAAACAAATGTTTCCATTTAAAGGCAGATGTCCTTTGAGGCGATGCTTTTCCAAGAAGCCAAAAAGTAGGGATTCATCTTGTTCTCCAGAAATGTAGAAAATGGGATTTGTTACGACTTTGATATATTTCGCCGTCTATTCGAAAACCATGAAAGTTGTTATGTCATTGAGACTCTGACGGAGACAGGGATATTGACATTTCCATAACATGAACACGTTTTTTGTGAACTTTAAAAAAATTTCCCAAAATCTATATTACGTGTTTTTGGGAAAGAAAACGTTGTCCAACTATTTTTATTTTTTTCATCAAACTTTTCTTTTAGTATTAAACGCCGCCCTCTGATAAACGCCGTCCCCTATTGAACGCCGCATCCAAAAGTTGGATTTTTGAGAAACGCCGCGGCCTTCTTTAGGGGGAATACGGTATGTCATTACCATAAGTAGCCGCATTGGAAACAACAGGATATAGAAAAACGTATGTATATGTAAGTTGGAAAGTTAGATTTAGTAGATACATAGAGGTAAGAGCAGATGCACGTAGATATACAGAGGTATGTGAGACGTCAAGATTTGTGAAAACGCACTGGTACGAATTAAGGCTATAACGTTTCATGGATGCTAACTGCTCTGCTCAAGAGGCTTGAGAAAGCTCTTGTAGCTTGTCGATGTTTTGTTGTTATTTAGATATATTTAGGAAAGGCAGTACTTGTAAAAGACAGCGCTGGGCCTCGTCGCTGTACGTTTTGGACAGACAGTACTTGAGAGACTGTGCTGTGCCTCGTCGATTATTTACGTTCGCGGAGAACCGATGATTGTTTTATTGCATTAGCTGAAAAGTAAAGTTTAGCGTGGAAAGACTACAGCGATTTTCATATTACACCCTTTACAGTCTTCACTCTAGTCTTGCCTCCTTTTGTGTATAATTAAAATATTTATCTGGAACTTAAAGATGTCCCACCTCTATAACAAAGTCACTGTGAAACATTTTTTGCAAATCCACAAATTTTGAACACGAAAAGGATTAGCGGGGTGTATACTGCCTTTAAATTTGAAACAGAAGGAACATTTACAATTGCATTATAAGAAAACGGTCTGTTTTCATTTTTTTATTTTACGCTACGACGAGCTTCAAGAATCGCAGATTCATTACGCTCAAAAATGATAAACAGGATAAACAGGAGGTCTGGAATAAGGATGTAATGCGTAGGGTTTTTGGAAAAATTAATAGGTGGGGAGACGTTTATTCCGGACTAGAGAGTAAGTACGTTAACAATAGAAAAGTTAGCCAACCGGCGGGATATGCAAATTGGGCTAGATTCTGAATAGATGAGTCACAAATGGTAGTTCTTATTTGACACATCCCTCTTTTCCCGACAGTTGTTGTTGTTCCTTATCATCGATAATTTATTGGCTAGCTGTCTATACTATAGTTTGCTTGCGGATCGACATGAAGACAGTAACATCTTGCACATAATTACATAAATCGGTATCCTTCATCAGAAAAAAATGTCGTTAAATATGGATATTGAAGAGCAGAGGGCCTAGCACTGAGCCTTGTGGAACGCGGTAATTTTTACTTAACGAACTAGTTTGCCTTCCATGCAAATAGCTGTGTACAGGCACCTTTGCTGAATCCGTATGCAGAGAGTTTTGCTATCAGAAGTTCATGATCGAGGCAATCTCAAGCCTCAGTAAGATCCATTAAAATCTCTCTAGTATATCCTTCTTTTATCTAGGGATGATTTGCATTTATCAAGAAGCCTTATAAATGCCGGCTGTGTGTTGTAGCCTTCCCGAAAAGCACAGATATTTGATAAAAGGAGATCAGGGAAAGGCCTAATTTCCCTTTCATCATACGTTCATCAACTTCTGATATTGGAGGCAAAACAGTTATTAGTCGATAGTTTCCTTTTTGCAATGAATATAGCTTCTTAAAGACAGCTGTAACACTGTCCTTTTCTAATTCAGAATGAAATATATCTTTATTGATAGTACAGTTGGAAGGTTTTTGTAATATATCTCAGAAAAAAAAAGAATATTCCTTTCGAATCCTGTAAGGTATGTTGTCAATCGGGTATGCTGAATTTTGTTTTAGGTTTTGTAGTTTGTTAAACGTTTGTAACCAGTCGAACCTGACAATCTGCAGGTTGTACTTTCTCGTTTATACTTTGAAAAGAATTGTATTCCCTGATGGCAATTTCAGCCAGATCTCCTGTACAAGATGATGTTATCCTCAAATTCAGTAATTACACCTCGACATGCTCTGAGCAAAAGTGGCATTGTTTTTTGGACAAATCACAGGCTTGTTTGATCATATGAGGACTCATGTGAAGGTAGTCTTTCAAAATAACTCTTTTGACGTAAAACTTTTGTAAATTTGACAACTTTATTTACTTGCAATTTCACTGTCCCAAAATTCCAATAATTCACAGCACTTCTGTTTGAATTTAAAACTTCTACTTCTATTTCTTCGTATCGGCATCGGTTTAAAATTGCTACATGTAATTCTGATATCTTTGTGATATGAATAGTCAGAAACAAAAATTCATCTGAATTCCTTTGTATCTGATGTTCAATTGCTGCTTGTGCATGCATTCAATGATTTTTATTTCCTTGTATCCTTGTTCATTGTGCGTTCCAGCCATCAACTATACCAATGCTTACATACTGTGTCAATGACCCAAATAAAAAAAATAAGTTGAATATTCCTTTTTCACATCAGACAATCACTGTCTTGTGGAGAAAACTTCAAATTGCATGCATACATAAACTGCACTGAAATTTCAGGAAACAAGCATTTCAAAGGAAATTGTCTTTCCACTAAATCAAATGAGGTTGTGTGAAGAAATGCAGACATTAAGACACAGAACTTTGCTACATGATTCTCATTCAATAATGAAGTTTTACAAGTTTACGCAACAAGAGCTGAGGCAGTTGCTGATTCACTAGAAAAAAAAAAAGAAAATTAAAAAATTGCATTGGCGAGAAGTCGCAATTAACAAACGTTTCTTAACCAATTTATTTTCCAACCTAAACAGAACTTTCCTGAAAAGTAATTTGAAGAGAGAAATGAAAGATATGTCGAATAAAGAAACCTTAGAGGTAAGAAATATTACGAAGTATCCATATGACATTGCATTAATTTGTTCTTTGACTTAATGATCAAATCTTTACAGTGTGAGAAATCAATCTTTATTGCAAAATTTCTTGTTTTTTAGTTAACTTCCCTGCAAAAAAGCTGATTTATGACACTGGTATGTCACAATGTTTACAAATAGTACTCATTTGAAGGACCATGAAAGTTATTCCGAAAAGCAGCCACTGCATCTAAACATGTAAAACAGACTTGCTAGGTCAAAAATGATTGAAATGAATGCCATGATTTTAAGTGGTATTTTTTTGATAATTGGATTGCTGTTGCAACCTGCTCAATTATGCACTGCAAACTGACATCTGAATTTTACCTAGGATTTGCACCTTTTCACTCAAGCAACTTAACTGATAGAAAGTTTATGTTTGCCATATCCGGCATTGGAAAAAAACTATGACCTTCATTTCTAAAACAACTTGACGATAAGCTAACAACTTAATTAGATTAGCAAATGCATGCTTTGGCTGGCTAGGCCCTTTGAAAAAACCAGTCAGTTAACCCAACAGGTACATCATATTATCTGCTAATTTCACAACAAAACTCACTATTTCCAATTGGGTGCCAGGACTCTCTTTGCTTTGTAATAGCGAGCAAGTCTGTGGATCCTTGCCTCAATAAGAATCAATCTGAATTTTGAATCTTTATCCTATAAAAAAGTTAGATAACTATTTCACATATACATACCTTCTAAAAGAAAAGAATTTTGCACTGAAAGTGGTAGTAGTAGAACAACCTCATTTAAAATAAAATGTGGGGCAATTTCAATATGCCTTTCCTGTGAAAAAGGCTCAGCAGTTAGGGTTGCTGACTACAGATTCAAGGGAATGTGGCTTGAGCCCCTGACATGACCTAATTTTCACTCAGAGTGAGGTGAGTTATCAGCTCTCTGTATTTCCAGGTATAGGAATCACAAGGTGTGGTCAAATTGAGAGGAAGTACGAGGACACTGCTTGATAAGCACAACTCTCAGCATCCTAAAACTATCTTCTGATGCTTGTTAGCAATACAATACAATACCTATCACCTTTAAGATAGTTGAAAAGCCCACAAGAAAGTGTTTGGAATGTTTCCAGTAAAATAATCATAATGCCTCAGAATGTTACAATATGTCAGCAAATGAAACTCAGACATATGCTTGTCTGTAAAACTCATCAATGGCATTACTTGGCAAAAAGAAAACAACAAAAACTGAGATCAATAAATCAAGTTCATGTCAATTGAAGCAAGCTAGAACTTAGCTGGAAAAGAGAGCTGAACTCATTCAACATAAACTGGCAACTGCCAGAACCCACCTTTCTGTTTCTTTCTAAATGCTTTCTCACAGCTACAGCCTTTTTAATGAGACAGTAAAGATCTTCTGGGAGTGCTGGTGCAAGCCCTGTTATCAAGATTAAAAAAAACTTTACACACTTTGCAGAAAAAAGAAATGATTGTATTGAATTTGAATGCACAAATATGTGGAAACATGCATATATTTTTCATAGCTGTCTCAGACTAAACAAGTCATCATATTTTTCAGATATATGCTTGTCAAATGATGTCATCATGGACAGCATGTTTGACAGGCTTCTTTCTTTCACAAGACAGTCTCCCTTGCCAACACCCGTGCAAAAACACGCCTTTTCCACAAGGGACAAGAATGGCATTAACAGTAAATTCCAATAAATTGTGGTACTCCTGAATGAAAGATCAAGTTACTAATGAAAACAAACCATTATTGCTTAATTATTCTTGTTATAGAACATGGCATGAAATAGTTTGTTTACAAACTGGTGGTAATCATAGATTTAGAAAACCATTTAGAAGGTAAGGCAATTGTGAGGCATGTGAGCCTGCAGGCATGCGCCCCATGTTTCCTTTAGGGGCGATTAGTAGCGCATCCAATGATAACATTTTCTTGAAAAGAGCGATTACTGGATGCTGATAGGTCAATCCACTTGAGAAACTCTTTCTGGAAACAGAAAGTTTGACATTGAATCCTAGTTTCCATTACGTGATAACGTCAGATTGATCAATCATTTGTGGAAATCCCTCTCTTTGGAATGCAGATGAATGGGAAAATAGCATTGGGAGCTGGGGATAAATTCTTCAAATTGATACAGAGAATGAAAATAAATCACCAAAAGAGCATCGCCAGAGTTGGATGTGGATAATAAAATCTAGAAACTTGGTCTTGTTGAAGGAAACATAAATGTAACTATATATACAATAAAGAATTTAGTTCATTTCAAGGTTTTGTCAAGTTTAGTGTTCCAATAGAAAAAACTTTATTGTTCTGTATTATCAAATCAATTTGATTTTCGCGCGAGTTTTTGGCAGCGCGCATTAATTTCTGAACATGAAAGCGCTGATAGTCTTATGACCCCTTAGACCCGTCAATATTGTACTCCTTTTAAAATATTGTTGGACAAAAAGGCCTCAAGTTGGAACTCAAAGATTAACAGTGCAAGTCCATCAAATACATCTCACTAGCAATTTATTCACTAAAAATTAACACAAGGTTACCTTTGGCTTTCAAAATTCGAAGAATTTTATTGCCTGTTACATATCGCACTTGTGCAACACCATGAGAATCTCTCAAAATGACACCTTGATAAAAGAATATGGACAAATATATACTACAATGGGAAACACAAGAATAAAAAGAAATAATTGCATTAGCTGTATGTAGAAAACTAGTAATGTAAAAAGATTGCACACTTCAGTGTCCATGAAAAGTTAGAGGACAGTGAGCTTTTTGATGCACTAGGGTCAAATAATCTATAGGCTCATATAAAATGATTGAAAAATTGCATTTCATAAATTGCCTCAGAATATTTCATCTGTCAGCAAATGATACTCAGACATATGCTTGTCAGTGAAAATCATCAGTGGCAAATGAAGATTTATGGCAGAAGGTTTTTTCCAATTCCCATTCTTGACTTGTTAAAATACATCTCGAGAAGTAGTCTTGAGACCAATATTCATGCAACTTTGCCACCTGGAGCAGCTGTATGTTCATCTTCAATAAAAAATATCCCATCTACAATAGTTTTTTCTCAGGGGCAAATTTTAATAAAGACAGGCAGTTTGGTTCTTAGAAAAAAAACAGAAGGCCTGGGCAAAGCAGAGTTGATGTCACATCGTAAATTTACAATTAAGGTGTAAATAGCTTAAAAAAGCTTCTATTAGTAACATAGCAACTGGCTCTTTCCAGTAATTTCATACAACATCTTCCTAAACAAGCAAACTTTCCTTTAATGGAAGAGAGAAATCAACAACTACATTTAACAAAATGTTTTCATAGACCATTTCAGTCACAAACCTATTTGGGAAGGAGTAAGACCCTTCTTTGCCAGCTTGTATATTTGTTCTTTAACATCCTCTGATGTCAGTTTCAGCCACTAGAAAGTTCAAACACAATCGTTTAGTTGAAAGTTGATCCAAATTGTTAGGTTTATTATATCCTGCAACTAAGAAAAATCTTGCTGCTCAGGTTATTGATCATTAATCAGAGTACAGGACTTTTTGAGGAATTTGCCCATCATTAACAAAAAAATTCATCATGGCAGCAGTAGTAAATATAAACTAGATTCCAGTGAAAGTGCGGATTAGGACGTTAACCATGCTGAAAAACATTTCTACATTTGCGAATCCTAAATATACTTCTATTGACCACTTGTTTATTATATAACATCAAAGCAAAGACTCAAATGCCTCTCAACTCAGGGGCAGTATAAAAGTAAACATTTGTGGACACGCAAAGGCAGCTTTTAAAAGTAGTTTTCAAACAACATAACTGTATGTAAATGCTGTAAAGAAAATCCAATCTGAAGAACAGAAATATTGAACATTCATGTTCATCATCAGAGAAATGGGAAGAGAGATTTTCAACACTTAAATGTTTGATGAAGATGGCAATGTCACAGACATTGATGCATTATGGTTGCAGCCCTGTTTCAAAGGACTGAAGATTGACGCACACTAAGAAGAAATTCAGTGGTGGAAAGAAGGTGGTTTTTATATAATAAGGAAAAGAAAAAACAATGGATAATTCCGATGGTTACATCTTATTTGTGCCATTTCCTGGCTTTGGTGGTACCAAAGTATCATAAAGCATTTGTCTTTGAACTGTCTACTCCCTGTTATGGTAAGAGTGGAGAGGCAGATTTAGAGTGGTTCTTTCATCACACTAAACCAACACAGAAGGTTTTTCATTGTTTCAAATGCATATCCTGTCACGCAGTTCTCTGAACAGTGATTGCTGTAATTAAAAGATGATTTCCAGGGCAACAAGACAAAGTTTCTGATTAAAAAGCAAATGGCTGAGGTGCCCAATATTGCTGCTATTTTAGAAGCAGGACTGGAATCATGCACCACAAACTGAGAGGTTTGATAACTATGTCTAAGAATTATAAAATCTTGCCTGTGAGCTTTTGATAGCATCAGATCTGATAAAATGAGGAAAACTGAGAAAGAGAAAGATCAAGCACCAAGGAATGTAGTTATATACATGCAGAAACACAGAGAACATATAGAAAAAGATGAGTAAAGATGTTGCTTGAGTTACAAAGCAAGGAAGTGGATCTGCGAGTGAGCTTAGCAGACATGGAGGTCCACAAAAAATGAAACTTAACTTTGGATCTAGAGGGTCTCATAATATACCCGGGAACCCACAGTCAGAAGAATCTAAGTCAGTTTAGCATCACTCTAAATGTATAAAAGCATTGCGGATAAATTAATGAACCAAGAAATTGCCCTGCTTGTTGTTGAGTGTGTAGAAAATGTAGAAGAATCTGTGTGAACCAGTGTGAAGATACAGAGTTACAGAGGAACTGATATACCAGTACTTGGAACAACATATATTTGTGGATGTAAAGCTGTGGTGTGGTGGAGACAAAACTGTGTTGAGTCTCAAGGATTACAAACATCTGAAGACTGTAGCATAGATACAGCTGACGGATAAGATAAAGAGGCAAAAAGCAATGTAGCAGAGAAGTCCCAAAAGAGCAAAAAACTCAATGTCAAGATGTTTTATATTGGACTGGAAAATCTGGAACCCTTGCATCATATGAAAAAAGAGGCTAGTTCAAGACCAATAACCCAACAAGAAAGATCCCAGCAACTTAATTTTTTTAACAAATCAACTTTTCTGTTGCTTTGTACCGCAGCATGTTTTTCCAAAGGGAAAGTAATACTAAAAAACCTTTATATCATAATTATAACTTAGATCATATTTCTCTATTTCAGCTCTTTAACTTTGACTTATTATGATACTTTTAGCACCTAATGATTTTAATTTAAACATTCAAGTCATGATAAGCTTTCTTTTACTTACCTGTGAGGCATATAATGCAAATTAACAATGATCTTCAGAACTTTGTTAATTTGTTGAAAAATATTGTATTAAATCCAATTTGCCCATGTACACTTACCGTTGGGACACTTCTTCTGAAGGGCAACGCTGAGCCAGAGATGCCCTTTCTGGAAAAGGAAAAACATTAGTTACATAAAGATTTGCCAGAACACTTGTTGAAGCTGCGCTAGGGGGCCTGCATAAACATTGTAAGCTTTTCTTGAACTTTATTTTTTCGATTTTACATTAAATAATATCCTTTGGGTATCAGAATAACAAATTGCTGGCGAACTGCTACTACATCAAATTTGAAATTTTGTAAAGTAGGCCATATTCTTCTGCGGCCTAAAAAGCTATTCCCGAACAAACTTTACTCTTTTATAGATCGATCCGTACTAAGAGCTTTAAATAGGAAGCAATTGAGAGGCCAAACCAAATCTATCATATGCTTATCATTGAAGTTCGCAGGAAACTCTGAAAAAAACATGTATTTACCCTGGTGCGTGCATACGACCCATGTCGGCGAGTGAATTGGAAAAAGAACGGCAGCTCGCTTTGCATCGCCTCGTGTCTCTCTAGACTAGTTACCAGGCCTCCACAATAGCTTTGTCATTTCGGCCTAAATACTTGTTTCAAGAAAGTACTTGTGACTGAGTTTAAAGATGTCGTCAGAGCGTTACAGTTTTAGTTTAACTACATTCAGGTAAAGAGAACTTTCAGTTATTTATATATCAGCTACTTTCTGGCAAAATTCTTTGTCACTGTAGGCCAGTTTGTGGAATTTTCTATCAATTTTGAGTTAATCTGTGATACTAGTAGTACTGTAATCTGAAAAATATTTATCCAACTTACAAGATAAATGTAGAAGGTATATAAGATCAAACATGTTTATTAATACAAGCCTTAGAAGGTGCACAATAAATAATCTTGTCTTTTTGCTCTACAAATTATTCAGATCTTGAATGGTGCACAGAAATTCTTAAACAATTATATTCTAGTTAAATTAAAAAGTGGGCTTGGAAAGGGCAGCAAGATCACACTATGAGGCTCAAGTTGACAGCTTTTTTTGACTAAAAACCACTTTTTGAAAAATGCTCCTATATCCATCACCATAGGCTTTGCCTAAGATTTTATAGGCCCTTGTTATTGCTATTAAGACCAGGATGAAAAACATGCATATGCTTACAGCTACGCTGGACTTCTTGTGCTCGCACCTTGGACCTCTTCACGGCTGTTGTGCCAATTGTTCTCTGGGAAATGAAGATGGCCAATATTTTGTCATTTAACAGATCGCAACACACAACTTTCGAGAATTGAGTGATTTTCAAAATGCAGTATAATCTTCCTAACAGCGCTTCCAAAAGATAGACAATAGATACTCCATTTTTTGCATGAACTTTGGTATGTTATTTTAGCAAAATAAACCAGTCTGTGGAAGCACAAGCTGATTTTTGATGCCCCAGTTGGCCTAAAACTTAATATTTTCCTAGCGATTCTCAAAGATGCAAACCCCTCTTCAGTGTGTTTCTCTTTAGCTTCTCAGTCTGTTGCAATGAAAGTATAAACTTAAAAGTAAAAAAATTAAATGACAAATTTTATAATGCTTTTTTCATTTATTTTCTATATTTTCAGTGAGTTTCATATAAAAATACCTCCAATAAGCCTTGTTTGGTTGGTTTCAGCAGTAGTACAATTAGACAAATTCTGTTAAAGAATTTTGCAGGAACCTGATTCAGGGAAACAAAAATTTTTTTGTAAAAAAACCAAAAATGCAATTACAATTTTATTTCCCATTTCTAGTACAGAAATTAATGCTGATTCCAAAAAAACAGCTTCTCGATAGCTTTTCCAAATTTTGAGATATCATCGATTCTCCTCAATTCAGTCAGAGAACGGGCCTATGCTGTCTTGACTTCCAGGGCCTAGCAGCTGTGTCTTGTAACCCAAGTATCAATGAAGTCGTGTATATTGTACTCTCATCGGTGAACAAAGCAAGCAGAAAACATTTGTGGCCACAACCTTGAACAGGCTTTGTCAGAAGGGATATCTCGTGGGACAACATGCCAGTTGAGCGAAATATTTTTGGGTGAAACAACCAGCTTACAATAGGAAGATCAATATGGAACAAAACAGTGTTTTGTATTTGTGCTCATCGTGCCATGTGCATTTATGTATGTCTCATGAAAGGAAACAAATAATAAAGGACTTTTCTTTAGTCTTATCACCATATTTCTTTGGATGAAGGACAGTGATGCAAGAAAACAAATACCACTTTTACAGCCTGGATACAGAAACTCAAAGGAGTCAGTTTATAGAAATTGGCTGAAATGACACCAAAAAACCTACCTTACCAGTGCAAATTATGACCAAAAACATTTTTAAAAGTTTGCAAGACAATTTTGTAGCGATCATTTTTTTGTCTCTATTGCCATTCGCCACTCTATTGTCTCTATTGCCTCTATTGCCACTTCAAGTGTCTATTGCCATGGCAATTCATCAAGAGACAGGAAATATCTTCGCCATTGATTGAATGAAACTTCATTTCCTTGACCCAGACTAATTGCTTTACACATTTCTTGTTGACAGGATAGTCAGTACAAATGTGGAAATATAGCAATGTCCTTTCCATGTTTGGTAAATACACTCGGAAAATACAATTTATTGTACTTATTGAAGCATTGGAGCACCATCCGCCATTATCCAAATGTGCAAAAAGGCACAAAGTCCTGTGAATTTTGGTCTGTTTACAAAGGTGTGACACAGCCCCTTAAAGATCAGTTTAAAGTACATTTCAGAATATTTCTTGCAGTCATTGCCTATGATATTGCTTATCTTTGGCTGGCTCTGAGGCTGTTGTTGACAACTTTTCTAGTGTGAGGGAACCCATCACCAGGTTTGGTAGAAATATTCCAGATAAGGACAGATACAACCTACATCTTCACAAAGATCAAGGATGAGAAGGGGCATTATTCATTTCTCACAGAATTTCAGTTTACTAACTGCTGTCAAGGCCGTTGAGAGGGGGGGGGACAATATGCCCCAGGTGAGTTGTAATGGCCATGATGGCCCCTCTGTTTTGGGATGTCCTCTCTCCTAGCAGATCTGATGTGCATTGCAATGGATGCTGCCATGGTCCCCTGTGCACTTGGTAAAAAGGGATGTGGAGGGGAGTGTTATTGGTGCAGCTTTGGGCTTAAAAACAATATGCAAAATCACTGGTTTCAGAGTCCTGCCTTGGTAGAATCACATGCTCTCATTTTCTCTCATTGTGTTTTCCCAAATCCTGTCCTCCCATCAAATTGAACATTGCCATTATATTTCAGAATGTTTTTCTCTATCTTTTTAAGTCCATCAGGAAAGTTGGTTCAAATAGAATATGCACTTGCTGCTGTGGCTGGAGGGGGGCCTTCTGTTGGAATTAAAGGTAACCAAAGTTCCAATTATCTATGTATAATTTCCTGAATAATTCGTAATTTTATGGTAGGGCAGGCCTCTCCGTTTAAGGCGCGCAATCACGCGCGCGCGCCTTGGCACGCTCCTATCGTTGCCGAGACGCGCAATAAATCACGCGCCTGGTTTATAAGAACCCTTTAAATCGCGCTCCTTGTGTTTTAGTTTTGAACAATTATTATACAAAGAGCCTTGCGGATTCGAAATCGATTGATATCTAAATAAACGGTTGCTTCTTTTAATCCCTTTTTCGAGGAAATTGTTATTGCCAAGTTAAATCAAACACCTCTTGAATATATTTCCGGTCAATAACCAATAAACTGTCATTGTGATTCCTGATTGTTATAAGTTTTTTAAATGGCCATTAATTCAAAGGACCAAGCCATAGAGCTATCTGCTTTCGCAAGTATCGCAAGGACGAAGTTAGCGGATCAAAGACCGAAGATAGGAATGGGAAGACAATTGTAAAGGAAGTGCCAGGAAAGCAATTGAATCATACGTCAATGGAACGAATTTCGACTCTTCCCTTAATCGGAATTTGAGCTGGACATTGACGAACTGCAACAATAATGTGCTTTTTTTTGCTTTTAGTGCTCTATTAAGTAGTTTGTTTAGATATTTCTAGATACAAAGTATTTACATGCGAAAACATGCCGTTTCTGTCTACTTTAACGTAAATATATTTTTTTGGTAGAACGCGCGCCTTAGCAAGGCGAGGCGCGCGTTTGAGCACGCGCCCGCTAAAATGCTCACGCAGAGGCCTGGTAGGGCTATTTCCTCGTGTATGTTCTTCTTTCTAACCAATTTTTTTATCATTTTTCTCTATCTTCACATTAACTACCTAAATGAATCCTTTCAGCATCAAATGGAGTTGTTCTAGCTGCAGAAAAGAAGCAAAAGTCAATATTGTATGAGGAAGCAACTGTTAGCAAGGTTTGGTCATTCATCATTTAACTTTTGCAAATTAGCAGTTTGAATGTTTGCAGAAGCTATTGAAATAGTATGAAGATGATAAATATACGAAAATAATACATATATGATTGCTAAAGACGTTTCTCATAAATTATATTTTCTCTATTCACCAGGATAAAGTTGAAATTAATATTGGTCTATTTGAGAAAAAGGCTGGTTGTCTTTTGTCATAAGCTTCTAAGAATAAAGCCTTTGAATTCAAGAGGAGCATTTTTTCTTTATGTTCAGTTTAGGAGAGTGATTCATAGCCCCCCTCAGCTTCTGAGGGGAGTGTTGAGGGAAGCAGGAGCTTACCTAAAATGGCCAACCATCCTTATATGATATTCATCTTATTCATGGTTAAATCAATTTGAATATGTGTGCTATTCTGTTGATGAAATATTATCCCATAATTTTTCTCATGGTCTTTTTATGAGGCAATGCAAAACAGATTGAGGCTGGCAGAGTTTTAAATTTCGATAAATTTGCACAGCTTAATAATAATAATAATCTACCATATTTATACAGGATAGCCTTTTCAGTAAAGATAATACTGCTTTCACTAAGGGTCCTGTTAAAATAAAAGTTTGTAAAGTAAAAGGTTCAGGTCCCTGTGACTTCCCTGCATTTATTGACAGAAAATGAGAAAATTGCATCATTTAGGATATAAACATCCATGTCTTTTTTGGGCTAAATGGACCATGTTTGTTTCAGAGGGATCAGTGTTTAGACTGTTTCTAATTATTTACATCAGGATCTTTCAGATTGTTTTTGTTAAGATGTTAAAATTTGCACACAATTCTTTTTAAGATTGAAATGATAACAAAGAATATTGGCATGGTTTATAGTGGCATGGGTCCAGACTTCAGGTACATTCTCAATGTTATTATGAACTTTTTATAAACTTTTTATAAATAATGAACTTTTTTATTTTAAGTTGAACTATTTTCACTGCTGTTGCCCTTAAGATTCCCATGTCATATAAGCCCTGTATATTTTGGCAGTTAGGCACTATTTCAATAGCATGCCTTTCCAAAACATATATAATGAAATCCTATTCAGTTATCTTTGATACGAGTTCAGAAGCACTCCTGAACATTTTCTGGTATGTGAATGTGCTTTGTTCATTTGTTCATAACAATATGCTAGTTTCTATGTAGTAGAAAGTAAAAAAAAGTTTTAGCTAATCAAAAGGGTTAGTGTTAGCTATCATAAATCCTCATAAGGGAGACTTATACAAGGAGGGGGGGGGGGGGCTGGCTGATAAAAATTGTCAACAGGTTGTCTGGATGGAAAATATTATGCCAGAAATATGTGTTTCTAACTAAAGGTAAAAAAGAATGGTCATGAATTCAAATAGGATAAATTTGGGAAATAAAGTTACCTGAAATATTCTTGTTAGCCAGGTAGTAGGATTATTAGAGAAGGTATTAGGTTATAAATACCAAAACATTGTCTTGTCTGTAGCAAGATGTCTGCCATAGTTGAGTGCCTATATATATATAATTCATAAATATATCGTTTCCAAGCTGAAGAATTTTAATTAGTTCATTTGAATTCTTTGTGTTAGCGTGAATCCAAGATTGTATTCATTTCCAAAGCTTCTCTCATGGTATAGTCCAAGGCTATTAAACAACATTAAACCATTAAAAGACACTGCTTTATAATCATTTTGAGGAATATGTCAAAGGTACTTAGTATCCCTTTGGTTGCTTTTTTGTAGACTGTGAACACACAATTTATAGAACTGGAATGGAAGTAAATTAAAATAGACAAAATATTTCAAGCTTGATTATTTGTTTTCCCCTTTGATGCAATTTATTTCTTTGAATTGAATTAGATAAAAAATTTTGCACCTCTGGATCAATATATTGTTTTTGAGTTCAAACAGTGACGTCATACCATAATTTGCTGAAATCGTCAAAATTTGTTTTAATGTACATTAGTCGAAAGCTTTACTCACAATGAGTCGAATAGTGTATTACTTTGATGAACTAGACATACCTGTCTCAAATTATGGCCGTAAAAAAGATTTTCCATGTGCCTATTTTAAGACGTCATTTCCGGCCAACGTCCATCGAAAGTCAAAATGTGCCCAGGTCCATTTTGTAGAGCGTACTTTAAAATACCAAAAGCAACTTCCAAAACAAGGTCTTGTAAAGGTTGTCACGGAACCGTAGATTTCGACCCAACTATATTTGGTAACAAATTCCGCTAATTCTGAGATAGTAGGCTACAACCTTCCTAAATTAATTTGGAATGACTCTCATTATAGTCGCCTTCATCCGTACTATCTCTATTTTACAAGCAGCCTCGCTAAGGCCACTTTTATGCCCCCCTCCTCCCCTTAGTGAGTATGGACGTTAATTGTGAATGCTTTCTTCAAGTCCTACAAAAATGAACATGAAGTTTGGACTAAAAAGAACACTCTATTTATATGGGTCGTAAAACCTATTGTGTAATATTTGATGGGTACCTGTAGCCTGAACCCTCCAAATATCCACTCGTATTGTTACAGTTATAAAGAATTCAAGGAAAGTTTTATGAAAATCAATGCTAATGCTTTATAGAATATCAATATATACGAGCTATCAAAATGTCGGTTTGAAGTAAGAAATGTTTCTGATCGGATACTAAGATCAGATGAAATAAAGCTCTCTACACCTTCGCTTTCATTTCACTATTGAACAACTATATTAGATATCCATATTCATTATTGTGATAGTGAGACTTGTTCCTAGTTATATGCAGACACTTGTTATTTATGTAAAGTGCTAATTATCAACTGATAACCACAATAATGACTCTGGCTTGAAAATATCGTTTCCCTTTGTTTGTAATTTCCACCTGCAGCATCATATTTTAATTTATTGCGACAGCAAATGGTCGTAGATTGTCGTCTTTTCTGTTATTGGATTTCCTAAAATGAGTAGTTTAGACGCAAATTTGTTTTTAAATCTGAAAATCAGGATAGGAAATAATAGGTTGTTATTAGATAACTAATGTAAAAATGTTTGATGATAAGAGAACCTACGAAAATTTTATATCGGGATTGATTGTTTTTCCTTTCCTCCAGATGAATTAGCAATCTAACAAATAACAAATTTTATATTTTAAGATTGTTGGTAAGAGAAGCCCGAAGGTTAGCTGCGAATTACCATTTAAAATACGAAGAGACAATACCCACGTCTCAGCTCGTACAACAAGTGTCTTCCGTCATGCAGGAGTATACTCAACAAGGGTAAAGCCACTTCATTTCCGTTTATATTTCTATACTTGGTTTGATGTTTGGTTTTTGTTTGGTATGTAGTTTAGTATGGTCAAAGTGACGTCATAATATGTCTGTGTTGAACTAGCGAATACTTTCGAACTAGCAAATACTTGAACGAGTACTTTAAAGAATTTGATTCAAATGTTCTGAAATGCCTTGATTTTTTATCGTTTATAACCCTTTTTCCTTTTAGTGGAGTTAGACCATTCGGGGTTTCATTGCTGATATGCGGATGGGATGAAGACCGACCTTTCCTGTTCCAGTGTGACCCATCAGTGAGTTCTTGAATAGTTTTGTTGCCAAATGCTTCTTACATGTCTATTAAATTTCTGCATGATTCTATTAGATATTTATATCCGGTGCCTTTTTTATTTAAAAACAGAACAGTTACTGCAGAGATGCAGCTGGCTTTTTTCCAAATATGCATTATAGGTAATGAGTTGCTATTATCTGCATTGTCCATCTGTTTCGGTATAGATAAATTCCCGCTGAGAAAGACTTTTGAAATACCCTTCAGGATATAGTATTTCTAGCGACTCGCGAGCCTTTTCGTTGACTGGCAAGCCAAAAATGATACCATCCTTCTAAAACTATTTATAGGCTTAGACGACTTTGCACCACCCTGTGATTTAGGCCCAGAAATAAACACTGGAAAATCATTTTATCACTACAACGAGTAATTTATAAATTGCAAGGGATATTGTGTAAGAGTTCCAGAATTATAATCTTTCTGCTATTTTAGGGAGCATACTATGCTTGGAAGGCAACTGCACTTGGCAAAAACTTCGTCAATGGCAAAACATTTCTTGAGAAAAGGTACTCCACTGGCATGGTTATTGTCGTTGTTTGTTTCCTCAGTTGTGTTCTCGGTTAGCTTCCTTAGCCTGTTACCAGCACTTATCGATCCTAGCCTTACAAAATGATAATAATCAAAGTATGTTGGAAAGCTGTAAAAAGATAATATGTTCTAAATCTATTATTAAAAATATTGTAAACATAATGAACTTGATCTATATTCAATTCGCCAGGTACAATGAAAACATCGAACTTGAGGACGCAGTTCACACGGCTGTTCTTACTCTTAAGGTTAGTGGCTTTTCATCAAATCTCAGGGCAATTTGATAGAATCGACTTGCGTAGAATCCACTTTGATAGAATTGTCTTTTATATAATCGTCTTTTATCGAATCTTTTTAATAGAATCGACTGTGATAGAATGAACTGTATGTATTTGTACATTGCGTCTTTGCGACTTTATTCTTTGAATAGCCCAAATATTCAACGTCGAGAAAAACAGGTCTACCTGAGTTTATAAATCATTCTGGATTTTATTTGTTCTTTTTTTTGAGATTCAACCGTATAAAATGATTCAACCGAATTCTACCGTATGAAAATGCGACTTTTTTTACAGGAGGGTTTCGAAGGACAGATGACTGAAGACAACGTTGAGATTGGAATTTGCAACGAACAGGGGTTCCGTAAAATGTCAACATCAGAGATCAAAGAATATCTCGCGTCCATCTTGATTTAAACGAAGATCACTTAAGATCTCTAATCGTTTTAAATTTGCTTTGTAATTAGTATTTCATCCTTCTTTCTGAAGTTTACTCACTGTTGTCTGACTTTTGATCTTTCAAAGCTCAAAGCCCACCACGATTGACGTTTGTTCGGTCGATGCACCCGAAAAAACCGAACAACAACGTGATTTGGACAATTCACATCTTTAGAGAGCAACTGGATTTCGCAATGATTCGACTTTAAAAGAACTCGAAGACTTTGTCTTAGCGTTGTTATCTAGGATTTTCAGCAATGTGTCCCTCCCTGCCATTGTAAATGCGAGTTACTTGTCCATCCTTCTCCTGTCATTTACTGCGGCAACTTTCTGTATCTGCATTGCCTATCAACGTTTTTTTCTCATTTTTCGTTTATTTTCAAAGAGCTCCATTTGCAACATTTGCTTATTTGACAACCACTTCAATTCTGTTTTAACTACATACGAGTAAAGGAAATTAAAAGGGATCCGAAGAATTGATGTTTTTTTAGTTTAAAATATTCATTTCTAATATTTACTAGTTAGTTGTAGTTATACCAGTTACTGTTAAGGTAGTCAACGAATCTGAAGGTTTGTTTCTTTTGCATATCTTTTCCAAAAATTATTGCTGCAGAAAGTTTTTCTTATTTTGAAAATAAAAATTTTAGAGATTCCCACTGGGGCTGAATCCCTTTTTTATCAGGTGGCTTGCAATGTGCACCCAACCAAGAATTGGCGTCATCATTTCCTATGTCTTTGTATCTATGTCTTTGTATCCTCTTTGGCTGATCTTAGAAAATTTGGGCTTTTGAAACTGCAATATTTAAATGAAAGCCGTTTATCGCAAAAATTGATCACGCAAAATTGATAGAGACAGTTGGAGCGGTTAGAATTAAGGCCTGGTTCAAACGTCGCGCTTCTCATGTGCCGAATGTGCCGAACCTAACTCAAGAATTAAGTACATGAGAATTAAGTCAGGAGCGGCAGACTAGTTTGGATCCGCAGAGCTTGCCGAGCTGCACGACTCCAGCACGGAACGGTTTCAAGCGTCGAACTTGTCATGTACCGAACTCAATGCATAATTATATTTATGCATGCGTTTCAAACAAATATTTGAGATTGCGCGCCTTAACCAAGATACTTCATGCAACAATCCTAAAACTCATTTGGCGCGACATAATTCAGTTCGACGTTTGAAACGGGAGTCGCGCTCAAGTGTCGCTCTAAACAGAGTTAGGCTCGGCACATGAGAAGTGCGACGTTTGAACCAGGCCTAAAGGCCAATTTCCACTAGGCGAATTCTTTCGCGCGAATCGAAAAAATATTCGTAGCGATAGAGTAGGACCGTTATCTACTTTCTGCGAATCGAATTTTTCGCTGCGAAATCTGAGAACATTACACCACGCATGCTCACATTGGCAAAAATTCGATTCGCGCGAAAGAATTCGCCTAGTGGAAATCGGCCTTGAGAGAGAGTTAAGAGAGCCGTGTGAAACCGGATACCGGCATGAAACTTTCACCGGTTAATTTCAAGCGCCGAAGAAATAAAATGCAGAGATGACAGTTTTACATCCTAAAAAAGTTGAGAATAAAAGTAAAAGTCCCCCTGGTGTTTTTAGACCTGGATACCAGATCACAGAATACCAGATAAACCTGGCAGTCTTCTTCAAACAAATCAATCTTCCCAAATTAACGTAGGATGATTCCATTGCACAAATAAAAACTGATGCATAATACATTGCATAATGTAAAACTAATAAGTTTTACAGGGCAGATAAAGATCGAAAACCAGACTCCAGTTCGCAATAACGTTTTTTAAATCAAGATTCTTCAATAGCGATCGTATAATCAGCAGCAACCAACAACTACAAAATGACGACTTTATTCAACGAAAACTTCGACTCGACTGGACTTGCACTCAAAGAACATACGCTTTTAACAACACGAGTGACGCACATAAAACCCTAATGACACAAATTAACGGCAAATGAACTAATAACAACTAAAATAGAGATGGCACGATGACAAACAAAATTACTGACGCAAACATCGAAAGACATTCTCATTAACAATAACGAACCACAAACACGATGCACGACAGACAAAACTAGTTGTATAACATTACTCCCTCCTTCAAAGACAAGCCTCCTGGCTTGAATTATTCAGAGAGAGAAATGCAAATAGAACAACAAACAAAACAAGAAATTTAAAATAAAGTTAGTTCACAATACAGCTACTTCATGTAATATCTCTAAGCGGTTCTCCGTAGTCTGTTTTCAAATGTCCATGTTTCCAATCAAGTTTGTGTTTCTCTTGGAGGGATTCCCTTTTATCAGCCATTTGTTGTCTTTCATGACAAATCTCTTTTCCAAGCGAAGAAACGTGCTCGTAAGATTCCATCTGATTCTGCCCTTGCGTTTCATAAGAATGATTAGGCACTGATGGAACAACATCAAACTTATAGGGCATTGTCCAATCCTTGAGTTCTCGATTTAATTCCCTCAAGTCCCCCATTTTGGCTTCCAGTCCATCTAGTGCGTTCTGAAAATTTGATACATACTGCGGGATCCCAAACTTGATACTGTCTTTGACGTCACTAGCCTGGGCATATCGCCTGTCCCAGCAGTATTTTGAAACGTGGCCTATTCGTAAGCAGCTGTAACAAATAGGCCGTCCGTCCTCCCCTCTGTATACGTTTGTGCGGTTGGCGAAGGGGTTTCTTGCTTTTTCTTCAGCCAGCCTTATCTTTTCAGCCATATAAGCGATTACTTCTGTGACGATCTCTAATAAAATATCTTTCGATTGCTCCAACGACATCATTTTTTTCAGCTCCAAATGAAGGTCGCGAGTTGTCACGTCGTGGTCACCAATGTAAAATAAAGTATTTTTTTTTTTAAAACCAAGATTCTTCAATAGAGATCGTATAATCAGCAGCAACCAACAACTACAAAATGACGACTTTATTCAACGAAAACTTCGACTCGACTGGACTTGCACTCAAAGAACATACGCTTTTAACAACACGAGTGACGCACATAAAACCCTAATGACACAAATTAACGGCAAATGAACTAATAACAACTAAAATAGAGATGGCACGATGACAAACAAAATTACTGACGCAAACATCGAAAGACATTCTCATTAACAATAACGAACCACAAACACGATGCACGACAGACAAAACTAGTTGTATAACAATAATAAGATCAATTAAAATACTTAAGAGTCGAGAAAGGAGACGTTCTGTCAGCGATGTTGTTCTGTTTGTCATAGCTGCAGTAATTTGGGAAGCTTAGTTAGATGGACATAGTCATGCTTCACCAATGACGGTGATCTGATCTCAAATTTAACCCGAGGGGAAAATCACTCCAAGAAAATCTCGTACACCTTTTGTGAAAATCCTATTGTTTTATCTGAATATCCCTAGAAATCCTTTTGTTTTAGGGAAAATCTCGTACGCTATTTAAAAGAGTGAATTTCCCCTCGATCAAACCTACTCTAAGGTCCTTATTAGAAGGAGGGGGGACGCTTATTAATTTTTTGATTTTTTTCTGACCTTATTTGGACCCCCCGTTTATTAATTTCTATATGCAGTCATTTATGTCTCTTATTTCATTTGTCCTTTGATCTTGCAGATGTTAAATTTCTGTAAAGTTTCTCTTAAATGAAGAGGTTGCATTGTACAAAAGTTTTAACATAGAAAAGTAATGACATCCTAAAAAAATTAACATAGGCCTGACTGATGTACACAATGATAATTAGCCTGCTCATTTTAGTAATACAACAATACATTATTATATGGTGATAATTGTCATTTTGCTATCGATTGACCCCAAAAAGAATCATCACGTGATTTTTGGGATTTTTCACATCTTATCTCCATTCACATCACTTAGTATTAAATGACGAGAACTCTACGTGTCTACGAAGTTCGTAAACTGGACATGGCTCAGCAAAAGGAACTGTAGACAGTAGAAAATCCGTTTGTTCTAGTTCCTAAAGACCGGACAACGTAATTGTATAATAGGTCTAGTTGTACCAGGGTCTCCGACGAAGGGGGGGTGGCCATGCCCCCCTTACTTTTTTGCAAAATAATAGAGCTTCTTTAAAAAAACTTTTGTTATGATTGTTACACTTTCTCTTGGCCCTTTCACCTTCCAACCTGCGTCGGAGCCCATGTGTACCTATTACTTTGAGTAGTCTTTAGAGCGAAGAGCAAGATAGAAATATCGTGCGACTTGTAGCAAGCAAGAATATAAACTGAGTCACAATGATATAGAAGCGCCGATGGCACTAGATGCCTAACTCGACATAATTGCCCATGGAGCTGGTGAGGCAAAATCACTCAAGCGGAAATACTGGCAAAAAGACGATCACGCATAAGGGCTCAGTACGGGAAATTGCAAGGCGGACCAAGGAAAACCAATGTTTTCGAAAATCGGGATAAATTTGAAGATCAGCTATACTGTATCAGCTTGCCATATTCATTTCGAAGGTTTCAAGCTATAAATAGTTTTTGTTAAATGGGGTTTTAATATTTTTGAAACAAATTTCTTGCTGCGGCATTCGTAAAGGCCCTGGCCTAGGCAATGTTTACGTTGTCAAAAATATTGTTTGAAGCCATAATAACACTTATTTGATAAAACTCGATGAAATATATCTATCAATGTCAAGCTGAATGGACTTGTGATTCTCTTTTAATTGCTTGCTTGCTGTACGATGTTCTGTGATGTTATGGTTCTAAAGAAAACCAGGTGATTTCTTTCCATACTTCACTCGTTCATCGAACAGTTGAACTATTTATCTCACATTTATGTTGAATACATACAGTCCTTTAGGACATAACTCTTTGTGAACCACTCTGTGGTACTTCTTACCCCACAGCGTTTACGATTTATATGTTATATTTACGCTTGAATCTGAATGACTCAAAATGTTTGCTTTTTTCAATGCCATTTTTAAGTTTTGTACCACCAAAAGATTGTGCGTCAACTTGACGAAATGGTTACTAATGAATCAAGGACCATAGTCTTCAAGTCACTGAATAAAATGACTCCACAATACTCGAGTGAC